CTTTCCGGCTCCATCTTTTTTCCAACCACGCACGACGGAACCGGCAGCAGCGGCGCTCAAACGAGGTCGCTACAGGAGATGCAGGCAGACGAGCCGAGACACAGAAACCGATGAGACGATGAGAGGATGCGGGGTTGTTACGTTGCAGGACGCTGACACCCAACGTACGCTGCGCAACCGTCCTCCAACAATTGAGGGCCTTTGTCGTCCAATGGGTCGCTAGCTGAACGCATGGAGTCCGGGATGAGGAAAGGACGCGGAGTCGCACATTCGGTCGAGGCCGGCGCGTTGGGAGTACAAGCGATGAGGATGTTACAGATCAACTGCTTCTGGGTCAAATAGAGAAAGGGCCAGTGAGGTTGCCCGAGAGGGGTCGTGAGAGGAGGTGGTGGAGGAGGAGGAGGAAGAGGAGAAAGTTCTGGTGCTGGCGTTGGTGCGGTGGCAGTCGTTGAATGGATGGGCGGGAGGAGGCGTAACAAAATGTCGAGGGGTTGAAAATCGCTAATCAGTGTGCTCCAACTCCTATCCTCGAAGCTTCGAGTTTCAACCCACAGGGTCGCTGCAAGATAACCACCATAGGTAAGCTAAGTTCAATAGGGACAAAAGGCAGTTGAAAAGGATTAGGTCATGACGTGACAGCAGCTCTAAGGTACTCCTCCTCGTACTAAGGAATCGGTCGGCACAAAGGTTTGGTTCGAACCACCGGGAAGCGTGATATCATTGGAGTCGACGGAGAAAGGAAAATTGGGGACATATGGGGTCAAGGTGAGGGAGAGAAGAATGATAGAACAATTAACACACACCTGCATCCGCTGAAAGAAGGGATTGGCGTTCTGTTCACGACCTCTGCTCAATGGACTTGTCAATTGGAGGTAGGCGCGACAGCGATTTTGCGGGTGGAGGGGGAAATCGATAGGGAACTGAGGGGAGTGGGAAATCAATGACCCTGGCAACGTGCGTGGTGAAAGCTGCAGATCCCGCATCAGCGTGGATGCATTTTCGTACGACAATTCGGGATTTGGACTGGGCTGGGCTGGTTTGGTCTATGTCGATAATGCTGGTGTTGGTGGTGATTGATTGTGGTAAGAGTAGTGGTGAAGGTGGGGGTTCGGTAGGTAGGTAGGTGGAAAGAGGAACAAATCAGGGAAAGCCGTGGAGGCAAGTTGTAGGTAAGCAAGCGAAATGGAGTTAAGAGAGGGAGAAAGAAAGGAAAAGGGAGAGGAACGGAGAAGAGGATAGAGTTGGCTTGGCTGTGGAGAGTGAGAAAGTGAGAAAGAGAATGCGTGAGAGTGAGAGAGTGAGGAAGAATGAAAGCGGGAGGCGGTGGTGAAGCCGTGGGAAGAAGAGATGCAACTCAGCAAGAAGGCACAGATGAACAATAACTGGAGATTGCTATTCAAGGAAGAATCACAGGGAAAACGAGGTCAATGGAGGGGGAAAGGACAATTGCTTGTCTCCTTTCAATAGTACTTGAAGACAAAAAGTGCACTGTAGATAGAGCTGATAGAGCTGTGGCCCCCGGCGTGCAGTAAGCAAGCAAGCAAGCAAACCAAAGAAATTCTCCCTACTGCCCAGTCATCCCAGCGTCGCATCCAAAGGTTATCGAGGAAAAAAAGGAAGAAGGAAACAATAAAGAGCAGAAGCAAGCAAGAAATTGAACGGAGAGGGAGACACCAGAGAGACAAAAAAAAGGTACCAGTACTTACTGCAGTCTCGTTTCACCCAGGGTAGGGTTACTGAGCTGGACGGTATAAGAATCAGTTGAGATACTGTAGCAATAACGCGACGATGGCGATGGACGGTGGTGAAGAAGGAGAGGGAGACATGCCAATCGGCCAAGATGCAGGGGGAATCTTAGTTTAGGCGTTTCGGAAGACGAAGAGAAGCCTGAGGGAACACTTCAACTGCAACTGCCACTCATTGGCTGGCTGACGCATTATCCTCACTCCCCATTACTATGAGTAGGTAGAGTAGATAGAGAAGTATGTGTAATGATTTCCCAGATGATATTATTCTACTTCCTACGTAGGTACAGAATACTCTATCGGTTCACTATTCTCTCCCTTGCACATTAATTTTTATGGTCAAAGCAACTTCATGGCCTGATCACACTGCTGATAACTTAGCTACCAGCTCACCACGGAGCACTGCACACAACTCCGTATAGCTGTCTATAATGGGAAGGAGAATAAATGGAGCAAAGGAAAAATCTCGGGCCCAACTTATGAGGCTGAGATCCACTATTGATGCGGTTATGGATTGATTGTGGGCTTCGACATTATTGTGATTGTCCTTTCTGGCCAGTAGGTTACTAAGTAGGTATCATTTTGACTAACTTAACTACCGGACACCACCCGGGCAATGGTCGGTCTATGGAGAACATACTGTTGTAAACGGCATTGAAACCTGTCGAAAGGAGTTACTATGTAGTAGTACTGTACAGTACTCCGGACTTAGAATCCTCATCCCGTCTATTAGTTATACCACCACTGATATGGATGGAGACTTTTTTTTTTCTTGCTCTGTTCGAACTCTTGTTGCTGCAGTGCGGTGTGTTTCCACCCCTTCCCCCTGACGAATCGTTTCCCCAACCATTGCCGAATCATGGAATTCCAGAAGAAACCCGAAATATTAGTAGCAAACCTCAAGGCACATAATCATTTCCTGCTCATTCTCTCCTTCGCCTTCTGTCGCATTCTCTTCAGCCTCAATCCTTTACCTTCCTTCCAATCTCACCAATCTCAATAGTCTCCACGAAGTGGATGTCCACTCTGATGCATCGGGAATATGGTACCTCCGTACGGCGTCCACCACTGGCAGTAGTACGGAATAGAGTGGAAGGAGGGAACGGTCTGAGGACTAATTCGTTATTCCAGAACCGGACCAACAGGGTGCGGCGGTCAGATCCGAGAAACTAACGATAATCGCCACTGGGATTCTTCCCGCCTCCCTTAAAGCAAGTAATATATTCGGTGTTGGCGTGGCCCAATGGCAGCTGCCAAAGTCTTTCGCCCGTCATCGTGTGCACAGGACTTGATCATTGCCCGCCTACCCTGCGGGCCATGCTAGTGATTGCGTTACGTCTAGAAAGCGTAGAATGCGCTCCTCCGTAGTAGAGGTGTTGGCACTACTGTAGGCACCGCGGCCTGAGTGGTTCAGTCGATATCTTTATCTGGGCGCGGTGTGGCTTTTCCCCATGGGACAGCCTTCCCATTCTTCCATTGGCCTTCGCTGGTCCCTGGTTGGCTTGACAAATATTGACGGTAGACGTTGGCAGAAAAAAGGGGGAGAGAGAGAGTGTGTGTGTGTGTGTGGTGCGTGTAAGAATTGTCAACAGCTCGGCTTGGGGAAGATAGTGAACATGGCAGAACGCGTCCATGGGTCTCCCCGTCCGTAGTCTAGCCTTGACCCGAGAAAGGCCAGAGGTCATCTCACTGAGTGTGGAGCTCTCGGGGAACCAGTTGATCACCAGGGTTTTCTTATCATTCAATGGGGAGCAGAAATTCTCATAAATAGTGCACTACAAGAGTACGTAGTGACCTGGTTATGGTTTAAACGAAGGACTGTTCACGAGGATTGCGAAGAACGCGGCTTGCTTGCTTGTCACCGGTTGTGTTCTCTTCAGTTCGAGCCGAATCCCGGCCTAGACCACTGGCAGCTGGACACCATGATGATCGTTAGTAGTGATTTTCGAGAACAGCAGGAAAGGCACTCCGTACCACAGACCTGACTCGAGTCGAACACCCCCGCACGAGCCAGCTAACCGGTCATGGCAGGATCGCAGGCGCTGAAGCCAATCAGTGGTCCTCGTTGGCGGTTCATCCCGTGACCATTGAGTTAGAAATCACTGACTCGTGCCCTGTTGTCAACACTCGCCCGCTTTGTCATCGCTGTCTGTATCACGTGATAACCATGAACACTCCTCAACTCCCCCGATAAATCACATGATGCGACTGCTCGTCCTGACGCCTGAGGCACCAGCTTCTTTTCCGTTCGGTGACCGCCTGCATCATCGCGGCTTATCACGAGGGCAGCCGGTCACCAGCTTCTTTGGCACTCCTGACCTTGACCGCGCCAACCGACCTGCTTCATTTCCAAAAGTCAATAGCTCCACCCTGTCTGCTATTACATGATTATTTCTCGTACCTGCTTTCTTGAAATTGGCCAGGCATCAGGTCTTGCTTGGTAGGCTTTCTCTTATCGGTGCCAGAGGACCGATTGCCCGATTACGTTCCGCCATTTGACCTCCAAAACACCCTCGCGTACCTAGAGTATACCAGAGCTGTCTCATATTCGGCAAAACTCTGGAGCTATCTCTGGACCCGGCTTGATGGCCGCTTCCAGCTACTGATGTGTCTACAGTCCATGCATCAAGTCGAGAGCTCTAGCCCAAGATGATGACATCAAATATCTTGTCCCGTTTCCTTCCTCCGCATGGATCGCCGTCAGTGTATGAGACCATCCGACAGCACGATTCTCATTCAGACACCTCGGATATTGAGGAGCGTGCAGGGTTAGCCCTGGAGGATGACCATCTGGGTCATTTCAGTGATGGCGAACTGGAGGAAGCCCTAGCACATGCCGAGAGGGATGAATCCCCAGGCCCGAGCGATCCCTTTTTGACCCCCCCGGTTCCTCAAAGCGCGAAAGCCGCCGGGAAGGCACCCATGAAGAGTGTATCGCGAAACCGGAGATCCAGTCGCTTACGGCGACCGCAGGCACTATCGCCCCAACATAAACTCGAGGACAGTGATGATGAGGTTCCGGCTTCTCTCCTCGTGGAAGGGGACCAGGAGGATGAAGACGATCTCAAATCAAAACTTCCTCCTCCCCCACCCTCTCATAATCTCCGCGATCATGGTCCTCACGCTCGACCACCCTCACATATGGACCAAGCGCGGTGGGAGACAGCCCGGGGACAATTACCAGTGCATAGTGCTCCTGGGAAACGCCACCATGGAGCTTTGTGGTCAGCTGGATACCCAGATCTGGCCACAGTAGATCCCAAAGTGAAAGCAATGTGGATGTGGGCGAATGTGGAGAATCTAGACAATTTTCTGAAGGAAGTCTACACGTACTATCTCGGAAATGGGATTTGGTCGATTTTACTGAACCGGGCGTTAAGCCTCCTGTACGCTCTCATTGCTTTGCGGCTTATCGCGATGGATTCAAGACAGCTGCTGACCAAATATAGGACATTCGCATTTGTTGTAGGTTTCAGCATCTTTCTGACGAATTGCATCGACTATCGCAGTGTACGCGGTAGCAGAACGTTAGATGACATTTATATCCAGCAATGCACCAAAAAGATGTCGTTCTCTTCTACTTTCCTGCTGTGGTTACTCTCGCTGTTCTGGATCGGCAAGTCCTTTCAGTATATCCTTGATATCCGAAGACTCAAGCATATGCATGACTTCTACCATTATTTGCTCGGCATTTCCGATCCCGAGATTCAAACGATATCCTGGCAGGAAGTGGTCAGCCGCCTGATGACCTTACGAGACTCTAACCCAGCGACGGCCGGCGCTGTCTCTGCCAAAAACCGCAAATTCATGGGGAGCCAATCCAAGCAACGAATGGATGCTCATGATATCGCGAACCGACTGATGCGGAAAGAAAACTACTTAATAGCTCTGGTCAATAAGGATATACTTGACCTCACACTTCCAGTCCCGTTCTTGCGGAACCGGCAACTATTCTCACGGACGTTAGAATGGAACATCAATCTGTGCGTGATGGACTATGTTTTCAACGAGCAGGGCCAAGTTCGAACATTGTTTCTAAAAGATACCCACCGACGAGCGTTGAGTGACGGCCTGCGCCGCCGATTTATCTTTGCCGGCATCATGAACATCTTCGCAGCTCCTTTCATTGTTGTCTACTTTATGACTCATTATTTCTTTCGCTACTTTAATGAGTACAAAAAGAATCCGTCCCAGATTGGGTCGCGTCAATATACCCCGTTGGCGGAATGGAAGTTCCGGGAGTTCAACGAGCTCTGGCACCTTTTCGAGCGTCGCACGAATATGTCCTACCCATTCGCCAGCCGCTATGTGGATCAGTTCCCCAAGGATAAGACCGTCCAGGTTGCTGGATTTGTTGCCTTCGTCTCTGGTGCGCTGGCATCTGTGCTGGCTCTAGCGTCCGTCGTGGACCCGGAGCTGTTCTTGGGGTTTGAGATCACTCCCGATCGCACTGTCCTGTTCTACCTGGGTGTTTTTGGATCTGTTTGGGCGGTCGCCCAGGGTATGGTGCCCGAGGAGACGAACGTGTTTGATCCCGAGTACGCGCTACTAGAGGTGATCAACTTCACCCACTACTTTCCGGGCCATTGGAAAGGACGATTGCATAGCGACGATGTTCGGAAGGATTTCGCCACCTTATATCAGATGAAGATTGTGATCTTCTTGGAGGAAATCATGAGCATGATCTTCACGCCTTTCATCCTGTGGTTCAGTCTGCCCAAATGTAGCGACCGTCTTATCGATTTCTTTCGGGAGTTTACCGTTCATGTCGATGGCATGGGTTACCTGTGCTCCTTTGCTGTGTTCGATTTTAAGAAGGGCACCAACGTCATCTCCCAAGCGGACCCTGGTCGACGAGATCCCGCACGGCAGGACCTGCGGGCCGATTACTTTTCCACCAAGGACGGCAAGATGTTGGCTTCTTACTATGGGTTCTTGGATAATTATGGGGCAAATCCACGTCCATCCAACAAGCGACAGTTTCATCCGCCGCCCACGTTTCCAACCCTCGGGTCACCCTCGGCTATCGAGATGGGCACTTATGGTGAGCGACTGGATGGAACGCTGGCAAGGCCTGGTTTGGCTGGCGGGATGATGGGCCAACAGTCTGCTTTTGGCGCTCCTCGGTTCGGCCCTCCGGGCTTAGGCGATCACACGTCCCCCGCCCCGTCGATGCTCCTCGATCCGCATCACCAACCGTCTGCGTCCGGATTCCGCACCACTCATCGTGCATCAGCGTACTCTCGCTACCGTCCATCCCGACCGTCGCGTACCATTTCTGACCCGATCGCCGATGAGGATGGGCCATCTACGCAGGCTCGTGGTGTTGGAGTCAGAGCTTCACCGCATGTAGCTTCGGGGTCGAGCGGGGCAGGCATCGGAACGAGCGACACCAATTTGGGCGAATCGTGGCGCATGAATTTGGTAGACGAGAGGGACGAGGATGGTGAGGAGAGAGAAGGCGGAGAGAATGTGGATGCGCTTGCTGGGGGCGCTGGGGTTTTGGGGCTGATTCAACGCTTCCAACAAGTGAGCAAGGACAATCGGGGGCGCACGACTGTTGGGTTATAGGATCCCTCTCCTGCAGACAGTGTCAGTCCGTCAGGATGTGAATATGAACGAATTCCGGAGACTTCCGGCTCTGTGAGCCTCCCGGGTCACCTCCCAGATAGATGGTCATGAGTATAATCATAGAGATGAGATTTTCAGGCGTATACTATCCGTAGTCATTGTATTCTGTAACGAGTGTGTTCTCCTGGAGGCCCGAAATAGAAATTTTGCACTATCATTAGGCTCAACCTTCGGTAATCATCCGCCATCAGAAGGAGCAAAAAGGTGGAAAGCCACTCCCACATCTGTCTCAACCCGCCACTTTGGGTCAGGTCTTCACTCTCGGCTGTTTCATCTTCGGGGATTTGTGTTTCGAAGGGCAAATTGAGTATCCGCCAGGGTCTTATGCTTCATCTCGACGGGGCCTTGAGTGGATATGGTCTGAAGGGTCTGTCTACTGGTTTCTTACAGAGACCACAGTCCTTCTACTTAGCATTCGATCATGTAGTTACTGTACCGTATACTGGGTCAGACACTATGTTGTCCCCTTTGTGATAGTAATCCCGTGACTGTTATCTATGCCGCCCTTCATCAATATTAGTGAGTTCATCTAAGCACCTCCCCGGATAGGAATGGCATTGTGAATTGGCAGTATCTACAGCAGCTCGAGACGGGGAGACCAAGACCAAGACCAAGAAGGCCAAGGATATTAGAAGGAGGAAGACATCGAATATTTCATTAGGTGTGGGACTTTCGCTTCGGAATTTGGAGCAGGGGAACGGAGCCTGGAGGGGGGAAATTGTACAGTACTGTATGTTTATGTTATTTTTAGTAACCGCCGTGACGGGCCCCTCTTCCTAAACCTTCCTGGTGGTTGTTCCTTTACCCCCCTGGATCATGCACTCTGCAGTCAGATGAAGGCTGGCAGCCATTGAGTCGGTTTGGCTAGTCTAGATGGTTTGGCCACGGAGAAGTGGTCCGTTGGGCAATATCATACTGGGTACTAAGAGAATACTGTGGGCGGAGTGGGTAAAGGACCATACTCCTGAACAGAATAAACAGTGCGGTAGCAATAACCATGGAAGACGGTAAGGGAAAGCCGAGATAATCGTTACTATGTACATGTATTATCAGTACGTAGTACGGAGTAGAAGTATGATAAATTCCTCTGGACTCCATTGGGAAGTCTGGATCCATCGATGGCGCATTCTAACAGGTCCATCCGACTAGCTGATCCTCCTTCTCGCGAATCCGGGGTTCTTCTAGGCCTGCTCTCTGTGTCTGTGTCTGTCTCTCTCCCCTCGTCTCCAGCCTCAGCTGTTTCTAATTTAACCTTCGTTCCATAATGCAGAAACATGAACTATCGATGTTCAAAAAATCCCCAGTTCGACTGCATCAAGTCGGAGTATTTCTTGATCCTTGCCCTAAGAGCCGGACTGATCCGGGTTGGCATTACGAGAGGTGGGAAATGCCTTGAAGATTTCATATCCGGGATCAATCAGAAACTGCAGAATTCCTGTGTACTCCGTAGTCTGCGGTAAGTTTAGTCTACGGTAGTTGGACTAGGTCAGCCTGGTCAGGACTATTTAATTAAATATTAAATAATCTTTAGATTATTTCCACGGGTTGGAAGTCTTGCGACACCCAAGTGGGTGCTTTCTCCACGGCGGTTCCACCGTAGGCTGGAGAATGCATTGAGCCAGTGCGTGAGGCCAGCGAATTAACCGCCTTCCCAATGGTCTGGCCCTGCGGTCCTTTTTTCCAGGCTTGCTCCGACCTCCGCCCTCTTCCTCTTTGGGATTGCACTGTACACTTCTTATCCTCAGTCCAGTCTGTGTTTCCTTCCCGTTCCTCTCTGCTCCTACTCCTGATCGGGGTTGTTGTCCATTCTCTTCGCCCTCTGTTATGAGTACTCATACCACTTATGATTGATTAAAACTTGCTCAAAAACTACCCGAACTAAATACTAAACTAATCTAAGAACAGAACTGACTGCTGTTTGTGGTGGTCACTGGTCTTGGTGGTTTCCTTCAGACTGTCTCATCTTCTCTTTCCCTTCTTTCCCACCTTTCAAACTCAATACTACTACCAACTTACTACTAATCATGTTTGAATAGAGGCTTCACTGTCCTCCATTCTTTCACTATTCCCCTCCCCCCCCCCCCCCATTTCTTCCGTCAGTCGTTTCTCTAAATAGATTGTTTGATGGTTTGATCGATCGATTCATTCACCAACCTCCACTCATTCCTTCTTTCCTCCGGAGTCTCTTCATGTTGACTCTTGTCTGTCGTTTGCGATTACCGCCCTACACATCATATCATTTTCTTCCACCCTGTTTGTGATCCTTGGGACTAGTAATTCTTGACTAGTATTCCCATTACCAGCATCTTCTAAATCGTCTTCCGCTTCACTCCTCACTCTTCACTCTTTTCTCACGCGGATTTCTACCTCCTGCAGGTCCAAGACATTTTCCCTTTCTCCCCCGGGAACCGCGTGATCTTTCTGCTCGTATTTCCCCCTCTTTCTTCTTTCTTTAGTCTCTCTGACCATCTCATTTGGGGGTTCCTACTCTTTTCAATCTTTTCCTTATCTTCATTCGTTTCCGCTTACTCTTTCACCTTTCGTTCCTCACGTTGAGGATTCCCTCCCCTTTCCCCCTCGCCCCTCCCTTGTTCCGGGGCGTCTTCGTGCTGCCTCGTACCTTCATCCCTCCCCATCGATCACTTTCTTCGATGATGTTCCGAGCCCGGCGATACCGGGTTCTCCTGGTATTTGCGGCCATCTTTGTTCTAGCTCTTGTTCATTTCGCCGGTTCACGAGAACAATCCTCTGCTAGTTGGCGTGCATCGCCGCCCGCCGATCGTCGACCGGGGGCCTCAGCCCCGAACCCACCCGCCGTTCCTGAGCAAGCCGCCCCTCAATCTCCGGCCTCTCCTCCGTCCGCCCATGACTACAACCCCGAGCGATTTTCTACCGAAGAATCCAAGGACACTTCACCTGATGTGGCCGTAGAGGGTCCCCCCTCGATCTCAGCCGAATCCCCCCAGCCATCCGAGGAGCCTGCCACCGAGAAGGACGGGGACAACCGGAAAACCACTGGACTTGGAGCTCCAGTCAAGGGCCAAGGCAAATTGGGAGTCGAAACACCCGCCGCAACATGGACACGCCCACATTGGCAGAAGCTGCCCGAGCTCTTCCCGATTCGGAGCGAGGACATGATCCAGTTGCCATCAGGTCAGCCCAAGCCGATCCCGAAGCTGCAGGCGGATTTCAAAGACGAAACCTCGGCCGATAAAATGACACGCGTCGAACGCTTGTCGGAAATCAAGGAGGTCTTTGAGCGCGCCTGGACTGGGTACAAGACCTCCGCCATGGGACACGATGAGATCAAGCCTCTGCGGGGTGGATTCCGAGATCCGTTCAATGGCTGGGGTGCTACGCTGGTGGATTCATTGGATACTCTCTGGTTGATGGATCTGAAAGAGGAGTTCTCCATAGCAGTCGACTATGTCAAGACGATTGACTTCACTACCACCTCCAAGAGGAACGAAATTCCCCTCTTTGAAACTGTCATTCGCTACCTGGGTGGGTTGATTAGTGCTTACGATGTTTCGGGTCACAAATATGATGTCCTGTTGGCGAAAGCCGTGGAACTGGCCGAGATTCTTATGGGAGCCTTTGACACCCCCAACCGCATGCCTTCGCTTATGTACAAGTGGACCCCGTAAGTCAATTTCGTCCGTCCTCGGGTAATTGCATAACCCCTAACAAGTACATGTTACAGATCTCACTTGACCAGACCCCATCACGCCGATAAGAAGGCCATTCTAGCCGAACTCGGCTCGCTCTCAGTGGAATTCACACGTCTGGCGCAGTTGACCAAAGAGAACAAATATTATGATGCTGTTGCGCGCATTACCAACGAGTTAGAGAAGCTTCAAGATCAGACCCAATATCCCGGCTTGTGGCCCGTGAAGTTGGACGCCTCGGGGTGCCGCAAGAACGCCAACGCCAACGCCAATGCCAATGCCAACGCCAATATCAATGCCAATACTAAGGAACTCACCAAAGCTCGCCTCGAGCAGGAGTATGCGCGCGACCGGCTCCCTGTGACTACCACGAGTGCTCATTCTTCCAAGCCGCATCCTACCAAGCCGGCCCCGACCGATGCGAAGAGCTACCAGGACTACTTCAAACCCCGCGATGCGCGGTCTCTTCACGAAGATGCTCAGCTTGCAGAGTACCCTGGAGCTGTGGCGCAAGGTCCCGGTGGCGCAGCTCTGAGCGCCCCCGAAGCGCAGTGCACCGGGGGTTTGGACACAGCCACCATTGACAAAGAGAAGTACAGCCTTGGAGCTCTTGCCGACTCTACATATGAGTATCTGCCCAAGGAGTATATGCTTTTGGGCGGTCTCAATGATCAGTACCGTTCCATGTACGAGAAAGCTATGAACACAATCCGTCAACATCTGGTCTTCCAGCCTATGATCAAGGGCGGCTGGGACGTCCGCTTTCTGAGCACAGCGATCATCCCCAAGAATAAGCCAGGCCCCACGGTCATGGAATACAAAGGGGATCACCTGTCATGCTTTCTTGGTGGAATGGTTGGCATTGGAGCCAAACTCTTCGGCTTGGAAGGAGATATGGACCTGGCTAAGCAATTGACTGACGGCTGTGTGTGGGCGTACCAATCTACCAAGAGTGGTATCATGCCCGAAGAATTCTCCCTGGTTCCGTGCAAAAAAGGCCAGCCTTGTGAATGGGACGAGTCGACCTATCACACTGCTTTGGATCCTGACATGCTGGAGCGTTTTGCCAAGGCGCAGGAGCGGAAAGAGCAGAAGGAGAAGGAGGAGGCAGCGGCTGCAATGCAAGCCGAGGCTGAGGTAGCTGACTTGAAGAAAAAGAAGACTCTACTGGGGAAGCGCGAGCGCGGTAACTGGCACGTCATTGGTTTGGAAGACGAGGCCACACCGAAGAAGCCGGAACCCGAGCAACCTCCTGAAGAGGAAGAAGAGAAGGTGCCCTCGCACGAGGAGTACGTGGCGACACGTATCAGTAATGAGCGCCTTCCTCCCGGGGTGACGAAGCTCATCAATCGCAAGTATTTGCTGCGACCTGAGGCTATCGAGTCGGTATTCATCATGTACCGTCTGACTGGCGACGAGTCGTGGCGGAAGAAGGGTTGGGAGATGTTTCAAGCCGTCTCGAAGTACACTCGGACGGAGTTCGCCAACTCAGCAATCGACGACGTCACCGTCACAACTCCCGAGATGTTGGACGAGATGCAGTCATTCTGGCTCGCGGAGACGCTGAAGTACTTCTACCTTCTTTTCAGTGATCCGACCGTCGTCAGCCTTGACGACTATGTACTGTAAGTCTTTCCTCTCGTTGTGAACCCCATCAAGTGCCCTGGCTAACGGACACACCGCAGGAATACCGAAGCGCATCCTTTGAGGCGCCCGAACTAATGATGGCTTTGTATGCATGTGCATTTTGCGTTCGTCCTGCTTGATTCTTAATTCTCCCCCGTTCTTACTCTTTGCTTCCTCACATTGCTGCTTTTGCTTGTAAAAGTACAGATACCACGGTCCAGTCCACGAGTTGTTGATTGATGCATTCGCCCTCCCTTTTACTGTTTTGTCCCCCTTCGCTTTTCTTGTGGGATGGGCTCTGTTATTTCTTAGCTGGCTTTGGAAATAAAAGGCTCATATATGGTGAATGGTGCTGCTGCTGTTGTGGACGATGATGTGTTGTATAGTCGTACTATTGTACGGGATTAAGTAGATAATGGAGTGGTAGACATGTCACTGTCTCTTTACAAGGTGCAAGAGAGGAAAGAAAAATTGATTTAGGCCCTTTGCTGTTTCTAGTGGCTGTAATCAGGTCATCAGTGAAAGAGTGAAAGAGTACCAACGATGGGGCCATGAGACGAGACGAGAGGCGGGGGACAAGCGAAGCGAAGGGAGGAAGGACGGGAATGACGTCCCGCCCGCCCGCCCGCCTTCTCAATTGATTATTGACAGCGTTCCCTCTCCGCTCCAACTCCCATCTCTCCTCCTCTCTTCACCCAACCTCTTCTCCTCTCCTCTCTTCTCCTCCCCTCTCCTCACCTTCTCTCCAACTCCTCCTTCCGCTCATTAGTGCTCCCTTTCCTGGCTGGAGCAGCGCCTTATCCGACTCCCTCGCTGCGGGCGCAAGACGGGATGAGTGCAGGGACACGCCACGCCCGACGAGGACGACTGAGCTGTGGGAAATGGAGTTTGAGGTCACCCTGGAGAACGAGCAGCAATTCTGGGACGGTGAGTAGTACCGGTCTGTTTCTTTCTCCATTGCCCGATCGTGCTCAGAATATACTGCGAAACCCCTCTGCTCGCTACTTCAATTCATTCGGAACTAATTTTGTTGCGCGACCTTGTCCGCAGAAATCCAAGAGATCGTTTCCGTCCCTTGCTCCTCGGAAGATCATATCGACAATGCGCTTCGATCGTATTTGAGCCTGGCTACGAAGTATAAAGGTTTTTCTCAGGCGATCGTCCGAAACGAACGCATGCAGTCCAGCTGACGCAGGACAACCGACAGATGAATACCTTCAGGGCGAGTTGGATGTTACCCGGTGCTTGTACAAGCTCCTGGCATCCAGCATCTTTGCATCGCATGCGGACTATGTTCGACGACAGATGATCTATTGTTTGTTGCAGGTACGCCCCGAGGAGTTCGCACATTGCCTCATGTAATGTGTGGGAAGGGGTGTGTGACGACGTCTGACATGGGGCATGATTTGTTTTCCAGGACGATGACCCGGCTACACTTCATCTCATTGCCTCGCTCTTGCTTTTCGACGGTCGCCAACATGAAGAGGCATTTCGGATGATGAACGAGGAGGGTTCGTTTCCGCGGTTGCTGGAACTGCTGCAGGTCCGCAACCGTTCGGCGGATGAGAGCATGCCGGCGGGCCTGCATCGGCTTCTCATGGACTTGATGTATGAGATGTCGCGGATACAGCGGGTGAAAATCGAGGATCTGGGTGGGTTTGCGCCGGCGTTTCTTTTCCCAAAACATGCCTTGGTTCGGAATTGTTGACCCTGTCTGTGTGCATGGCAGTTCTTGTGGACGACGATTTTGTTCGCGGTCTCTTTGACATCATCGAGGATCTCTCGTACGATGTCAACGACCCTTATCATTATCCAGTCATTCGCGTTCTGGTGAGTGTCGCGTCCAAGGTGGAAAGCAAATCGCTAATGACTCTCGGGCAGCTGGTTCTGAACGAGCAATTCATGATCTCGGCGCACGATCCCGTTGACGAGCAGTCACCCATGAATTTCCTGACCAACAAAGTCATCAAGGTTTTGTCCATGTACGGAAACTTGTACAAGACCTTTGGTGAGAATATAATCCTCCTAATCAATCGAGAAGGTATGTGGTGTCTGTTGTGGGGTGCGGACCAATGCTCTAACATGCTATAGGCGAAACGTCCCTCCAGCTCCTGACGCTTAAGCTTCTATACCTGATCTTCACCACTCCGAGCACCTACGAATACTTCTACACGAACGATCTGCATGTCCTGGTTGACATTTTGATCCGAAACTTGCTGGACCTGCCGGAAGAGTCGTCCGCCCTTCGACACACCTACCTCCGGGTTCTTTATCCGTTGCTCGCTCATACGCAGCTGAGACTGCCGCCTTACTATAAACGTGACGACATCAAGCGGATGCTCAGTATCTTGGTCAATGGTCAACTCTTCCATAGCGAGGCGGACCAAGAGAGAATCATGCATTTTAACGAGGCAGATGAAACAACTAGAAGACTGGTTCTCCGATGCGCAGCCGTCGACTGGATCCGCGAGAAAGAGTCGACGGAGGTTCAGAAGGCTGCGGTGCCACCCCTCAAAACCTCCGATGGCAATGACGAGTCGCCTGAGGGCGAGTTTGGTGCACCGCTGGAGCTGTCCCAGACACTCTCCCCGACGAGTACCGTGGATAGCTCGTCGGAGAATCTGTCTCCAACCCGTGCCGATGATGAGGCTGGCACGGGCTCTGCTAAGCTGAATGCGCATCGCAAGCTCAGTCAGGCGCAGAGATTGGGGATGCACCTCGAGCCGGCCTCGTCATCGTCGCTTAGTGTGCAGGAGGTGGCATCGCAGCACGAGAAACCGGGCGTGATCACGCCGAGCCGAAACAATGCTCACTTGGACAGTCCTTTCAGTCCGTCGGCGAACAGGGGGAAAATCAAACCGCTTCCCCCGAATCCTCGGCGCTGGAGAGGCCGTCCTAGGGCGGAAGATGATGAGCACGTGGACAGAATTCCGGAGGACCGGGAAATTCAAACTACGAGTCCGCTACCCCCGCCTGTCGCCAGCGGAGCGGGCGATCGGCGGAATTCCACCAGCACATCAAGCCTAGCAGTGCCAATTCCTCGGGCCCCGCGTCGGTCCGCCTCCAACCCCCCGCCGGCGGTCCCTCCGCCGCGACGGTCGACCCATGCCACTGTCCCCGGCATGGCCACTCTCTCGGTTTCCAGCCACTGCACACCGCTCACCAGTCCCTCGCGAGTCGTTCCCCAGCTCCATCATAATAGTGTGAGCGCTCTGGGGGGTGGGAGCAGCTTGGTCAGTATGGTTTCCAATTCCAAACATGGGCATAAACCCGAACCTCCCCGAGCCCGTCGCTCGGGACGGGAAAGACTCACTCCAGGGGATTCCTCGCATCGACCAGAGTCCCCTGCCGAGCATGAAGGCTCGACTCATTTGAGCGAGGGGTATGCGTGCGATGAGCAGGAACAAGCTGTCGGGCCGCCCACATCCTTAGGGATCAAGTCCGGTGGTCCGGTCAGTGTCGAGGAGGCGGTGCAGAACATGTCTGTTGGGGAGTGACGATCTCCCATTCTTTTCTAATTGATACTTGTTTTTGAGAATCATCTCGCATTGGCATATCGGCGCGTTCTGAGGTTTAATTTGTCTATGAGCTATTTAGTAGTGAGCTTTTCAGCATGTGCACTTCACCTTGACCTGCTCAAGTTGGTGACAGAAACGGCATCTATTGTCTTCTAGACTAGAGAGTAATACCAACGATCAAGCACTGTCCACTGCGGAAAAATAGTCTGGTCCTGAAACAACATGGGATTGCCTGCCCCATCTGATGGAAGCCGAGTTCCACTGCGTCGTCAGCGGGATCCATTCGTTTGATCAGGTCGTATGGTACCGTCTACTCCACCGGGCAGGGGATGTATGTACGGTATTTGGTATTCTGTGCGAAACATGTGTACTGTACTGTACCCTCTCACATTACGACTTGAATAAACGGACGTTTTCCTCACCTCCAAGCATGACAGACACAAGATCTGTCCCGCAGATCGACCACGATAAGTAGAACCCAATTTTTCAAGCGAGGAAACTTGAGATAGATATCATAGTACATACAGTCCTCATTCCCTCATGATTTCCACAAGTAACCAACCATAATCATATCCTATCATACACATCAGAGAAAACACGCAGCCCTAAACATCGAGCAAGCAATAGAAACAGTATCATGAAACCCAGCATGATATCACCCTTCCTTCCTCATCCCCTGAAACAAGCATGAATACCAACAGGAGGAGTTAATGCCCCAGGATCCCCCAGAACTTCTCCGCCCCAAAGGTATACCCATTATCCACCTTCCAGAGATCATCGAACGAGGAGAACAGCACCAGCCCTACCTCGCCATCCTCTTCCCCAGTCTTTGGGTCAGCATCAGCATCAGCATCAGCATCAGCATCAGCACCAGCTCCAGAACCAGACCGCGCAAACGCCTCCCTCAAACTCCGCACCGCAGCGCGCTGATTCTCCAACGAGGGCACGGCCTTCCCATTCGCCTGGCCAGCATGCGGCCATCCGCTTTCCGTGATAACCACCTTCTTGCGTTTACTCGTATCACCATCCCCATCCCCATCCCCCTCCATCATCTCGAGTAGCTTCCCCACCTGGCCCCTCACAAACGCCCCCGCGCCGGCAGCCTCGACCTCCTCATCAAAGAACGCATGACAGTTCGCCGCGCAATAATCACTCGCCGCACACACGGCGGGATTGGCCAGATGCGCCGCCACCGTGTCGACCGCCACGACGGGGCCGGGGTACCCGGCGGCACGCAGCGTGGCGCGCGCCGCCTGCACGGCGCCCACCACCTCGGCGGCGGTGTTCTGGCCGCTGTTGAGGAGTTCGTTCCCGATCGCGATTGTGTGGATCCGGCCCCAGTCGCCGCCGACCGCGGCGATGATGAGCGCCAGATCGTCGGTGAAGTGGCGGAGGTCGAAGAGGCCGGCGAAGACCTGCAGGCCGAGGCCCCGGGCCGCGGCCAGGACGAGGCGGGTTTGGTCGCAGTCGGTGCCGTAGATGCGGACGAGGGCGTAGCTGGTGAGCTGGGCGAGGTCGTGGGTGATTTGCGTGGCGGGTTTGCAGGTCCCCTCTGCGGTGTAGGGGGAGTAGGCGATGCCGTAGTTTTTGTCGGGGGAGGTTGTTGACGGGGGTGGGGGAGGTGAGGGAGGCGAGGGAAGGGTGTTGGGGTCAGGAGGGAGGGCGGAGTTGAGGCCGTGGACGACGTTGTTGCTGAGTTGGTTGGCGCTGTGGTCGAGCCAGGTTAGGGCTGCGGTGGCATCTTGACCCAGGCTTAAAGGGTTGGGGAGCCAGTTGTTGTTGTTGTTGTTGTTGTTGTTGTTGTTGTTGTTGTTGTTGTTGTTGTTGTTGCTGGGGCTGCTGCGGCGGCGGAGTGGATGGGCGGAGACGGTGTTGCTGTTGAGAAGGAGCAGCAACGCTAGCAGCAGCAACAAGATGGGGGCATAGGAATTGCAACTGCACGTCCACTGCATCCTGCACAGTGTTGGTCGTCCGCCGCTATCACGGTGGATGGTGGATGGTGCATTGAGTTGGGCAGTCAGAAGATAAGAAGAAAAGGAAAGCTAGATGATTGATTGTTCCCTGACCAGGGCTGCCTCCTGAAACAGGGACACCAGTGAATTCACTACACAAGAATGAGCATTTCTCCCCAGGGAATGTACAGGATAACTCCTACCTTGAGCCCTTCACCCTTCGCCCTTCACCCACTGACCGATCCTCGGAATGTCAACACTTCAAACCCCTTATAATCAAGGCTCCTCCCCCCCGCCCTATCCTGGATTGTCAAGCCACAATTACTTACCCCTGGATCTCCCTATAATTGCATCATCCCCCATGCCCGAGAACCCCCGAGAAAAGAAGAAAAAGTGTTATTAAATAATATGGTCTCTAAAAATATCCACGGTACCAATGTAGCCAAAGAAGTAGGAGAAACAAAGACGATCACCACTCAGTAAAAATGATGCGAGTCGACCGTCCATTAAGACATGTGCAGGAGCGTTTCACCTAGCATCTAGGTGCAATATGCTGTACAGGAACTGTGCTTCGACAGTGGGTTTTATCAACAGGGCCGGAAATACTGAGGCTGGGGCAGAATACGATGATGAAAGGACAGAGGGCGTATCATGGAAGCATTAAACGTCATGGCCAGGTCCCTACGACAGCCGGAGAAACAGACAAAAACGAATCACTTCCTCTTGCTCAGGACTTTCGTAATTGCGTGGCGGATGATCGTCCCCGCCTTCTCGATCTCTTTTCGCGTCAGGCCGATCGTCACACAGACCTTCAAAGCAGGCTCCACCACCTGCTTCGGCTCGAAGTTGTCCTGGAGAGTCTTGAGGCGGCTGATAAGGACGCCGTTGGCAAGACACTGGTAGCACCCAAAGTCAGCATCGTGGTCAGACGAAAAGACATAGACAGACAACACCTACCTCGTCAACGATATCCTGCAGCAAGAATTGTTGATCATCCTCGGAAAGCTTCTTCGCGTGGACCACCTCGGGCTTGAGAACCAGAATCATCATGGGATTCTCCGGGGCACTGGTGCAGTACACCCAATCGCTGCGAGGGTCCAACTGCGCCCACATGGCCTTGGTGTGTTCCCGCAGCTGCGTCACCGTCTCGGGGCTATTTTGCAGCATGTTGATCGTGGCACTCGCGGTGGTCGACAGCAGAGCAGGCAACGCGGCTGAGAACGTGTAGGCCGCCGCGGAGATCCGCTGGTGGTGCACAATCTCCTCCGATCCCGCGCAGAAGCCTCCACCAGCAATCAATGGGCCGGCCAGCGACCCCACGATCATGTCGACTTCTGCCGCGTCAACGTTCTGATGCTCCGTCACGCCACGGCCGGTGCGTCCAAGAACACCAAACGACCAGGTCTCGTCGAGGATGAGGCGAAATTTATACTTCAATTTCAGCTCGATCTTCAAAAGAAAGCGTCAAGTCAGTAAGCAAGACCCCCATACAACCACAGCTCGGCCGAGAAAGCACATACAACTCTAGGTAAGTCAACCATATCACCGTACGACTCGAACAGACCCTCAGTGATGATGAACCGTCGGGTGAGCGGCTTCCGCGCCTGCTCCTTGGTCACCTTGGCCAGGACCCGTTCCAGATCCTCCATGTCATTGTGCTCGTACCACCGGACAATACTCCGCGAAATCTGGATACCCTTGCGGATCGCAAAGCTGACCCCCTTGTCGGCCACGATGATGTCCCCGCGCTTCGAGAAAGCCGGGATCACACTGGAGATGGTCGAGAAGGCCTGGGCGTAGATGATACAGGACGCGGTGCCGAGGAACGAGGCGACGTCGGCTTCGGTCTTCATGTGCACGTCCTGGGTACCGTAGAAGCCTCGCGGGCCACAGGGTCCGACTCCGTAGTTGCGGAGGGTCTGGATCGCCTTCTCCTTGAGGGATTCGTTCGTGTTGAAGTTGTAGAAATTGTACGAGCCCAGGTTCATGACCGTCCGGCCGTTGGCGAGCTTGGATTTCGGGCCTACGGGGCTGGACAGGGCCCGCGCGCGTTCGCGTCAGCAGATGGACCAGTGGACCAACCCATTGAGGTCGGACAGTCGAGGGAATAGCTCTTACCCGACGATGACAGTACGCTTGTCCACTTCCATGGCCTCCAGGGGGGTCGGCTTCCCGACCAGCGGCTCCGGAGTCCATTCGTCGACCAAGTCATCAATCTCATCTTCCGAGAGTTGGACGACACCGGGCTTGGTCGAATACTTCGGCGCAAGAAGGTAGCGAACGGCGAACAGGAACAAGAACAGCTCCACGGCCGAGCGGATCGGGTCATTCTGATAGCTGGACTTCACATAACGGAGGAAGATCGCGGAGCCGGGAACCCGATGGAACAAGGCAGCGAGTTCATGGAGATACTCCGTAAGAAGCCGCTGTGTCTCCTGAATATCCATGGTCTCGAAATTGACGAGGCGCTCGTGGCGCTGAACGAAGACGCTGTCGGTGGGGAAATCCCAGAACTGAAAGAAAGACGACAACGGCAATCTACAGTCGAACGGATGGCATTGGAATCAAAGGTGTGAGATCTGTAAAGGAGGAGCTTTGGTCAGAAAGTCGAAACGACGCGGCACTTCCCAACTTCCGGACAGCCCAGGCCGCAAGCACGTGACTTCGTCTGCTCCTTGCAGGCAGCCATCCTATCAGCCCGTACTTAATTGTCATGTGACAACGTTTCTAGACGCTCACTAAATCCAGACTGATCCATCCATGATGCAACTTGGAAGCCCCTATAGCAGAGGACCAGTAGCCAATTTTGCTACGTAGTTGAGCAACCCCTACAAGATCCTACATTTACGCTATTCCTTGCTAGCTAGCATCATCTACGAGAAAAAGTCCAAGAATACCAAAGATAAAATGAATGGTGGAGAACAAAATGAAACTTGCAAGTCTAATGAACATACATAAAGGACTGGAAAACACCTCGAGAATACAGAATTCAATTGACAGATATTGGATCCATTAATGTTGACGACAGAAAAGAGCATGGGCGAAGAGTGTCCTTCAAGAAGCAATGAGAATAAAACAAAGGCAAATGTATGCGACTCGGCAGCGTCCTCAAGGCGCTGAACACTTTATACAACTCGTTTCCATGTTTCATTTTCGCAAAAAATGAGAGAAGGTAGAGAAGAAGATAATATGAAAATCCAACGTGGCAACAGACTCCTCACTAGCTGGAGGTGGCGGTGGCAGCCGGGTTGGTAGGAGTCCAGCCGGAGAACCCGACGGGGAGACCTCTACCCGTGTAACTGGCAATCGTGTCATTGTTGTCCTTGTCGAGGGGCTGCATGATGTTCATGGGAAGACTTGAACCCAGGTTGATGTTCTGGTTGCGAGCCACGAGAGGGGCGATGAGAAGGATAAGGAAGATAACCAGCATCGTGAAGTACAAGATAGCAAAACGAATGACTCTCCGCTTGCGAAGCTTGGACTGCTTCAGGGTATAAATGGGAGGACGAATCTGCCGACTCGGGCGCAGCCAGAAAAGAATGACCGAGTGGAACTTGTCAACGTAAGGGATGCAAAGAGCAGGCAACATGACAAACAGGAGAATATGGCCCAATACGAAGTCGGCGGAGAAGTAACCCAATTCCGTTATCTTACACAGGAACTCACGGCCAGGCTGGGAAAGAGTATGCCAGCCCATGCTATACCACTTACCCGTCCACCAGGCGATGTTGGACTGGTCATTCTTGAACTCTCTGGTGAGAGCAAGCGAGATGATGAGCTTGTAGATGAACCGTTGGATGGCAGCCATGGCAATCATGCCCATCACACATCTAGGCCAAGACCAAGACTCGAGGAAGAACATGACCTCAAAGATAGCCAGAAGGACAATCACGGCAATGGCGTGAGCAATGGCAGCCAAGACAGCACCGAACTTCTTGCAGCACATGCTGAAGATGGGACCCATACAACAAGCCAAACCGAAGAACATACCCGCAACACCGGCGTTGATGGCAATCGGACCGAAGGCAACGATGGCGATACGGACGATCGCGTTGGAAGCATGCTTGTTGTCGTTCGAGATACCGGTTCTCGAGTTGATGTACAAGTATGGCACGAGGGTAACACCAACGACCACCAGAGGGGCGATGATTTCACTGAAGAAGATGTTCGAGATGCGAGCTCGGGGAACATCGCCGGATCCCTTCTCCGAAGGAACACCAAGAAGCTTGCGCTTGTAACCAGTAATGCGGGTACGAGACAAGCGACAGAAGGCAATCCAGGAAGAGGCATGTGAGCGGGAGTTACCACGGGACAGCCAGCGGATGTAATCACGGTAATCGATGAAGAAATCGTGCCAAGCGAACTGGTGAGGGTTGAACAAGAATGGAGAGATCACCAGGGCCAGCAGTGAAACCCAGAACCAGATCAGAGCGGCAGTCCAGACAGTTGAAGTCGCGAACAACAGCATCAGAAGCTGACGAGAACCAGCGTAGATGGAGGGACCGGCGAAACGCGAGTAGAGGACACCGAAAGGAATACGAGCCGTTGCGAAACCACGGCCAGTACCGATGTAACGAGCACCGCCGAAAGACAAGTTTTGGTGGACAGCATTGGCATAGATCTGACAGACGAACACCTCGAACATGAAAGAGAAGGAACCAAAGTGCTTCGCAAGACGAGTCGCCATGCGCCACACACCTCTCTCAGTCAATTCTTGGACAGCCAGGGGAACGAAGGAGATGAAGAAGACAATGAAGATGGAGATAACACAGCGGTTGACCCAGTTCACGATAGGCTTCAGGTCAGCACAGTACGTGGGACGGAGAGGGTCGGTGATCGGCAGGTCGGAGTTGTACTTGCAGGTGATGGTCTCATGTCTCAAGGCACCGAGGTTGACAAGAACGATCATGAACATCTGCACAGACAGCATAATGAACATGTTGTTAATGTGGAAACCAGGGTGGGCATAGTAGAAAGACAAGAAACGATCGAGAGGCAGCTGAGTTCCAAGATAATAGTATTCTCTGGACAGCATCTGCTCACCCATACCAGTACCAATCTTGGTGGTGAAGTTCAGAATGGAGCCAAAACCAAGATCACGACCCTTACCGCACTGGAAGTACTCGCAATGCTTGATACGTCCACCACGGAGCAGAACTGTCATACCAGCATAAATGTCCTCGTTAAGGTGCAGACCCTTTTGAGCCTTCGAAATACCGCCACGGGTCGTCATGAAAATACCGTTCAGGAAATCAGGGTGACCGTAGTGCAGCTTTCCACCAATTTGGGCGAGAGTACGCGCGAACAAAGTACCGAATGTCTGTTCCTTACTGGCAGCAACGTCACCAAGCAGACCAATATTCTCAGAAAAGATGTATTCACGGGCTCCGAGAATAGCAACCGGGGTCGTAGTAGCGGAGGGCACACCAGGAGTATAAGGAGAAACGTTGTCAGTGGTCAGTTCCTCGAATTCGGCCAGAACACTGCGGATCTTCAAGCACTCCTCCAGGTAGTTGTCCTGGTTGGCGTCGATGACCTGGATGTATTCACCGCGGTAGAAAATGATAGAGTGGTTCTGGTTGTCAGACTTTCCGTCACCAAGAATAGGATTACCAGAAAGTTGGATTCTGAACTTGGGCTTGCGCATTCCATTGTCGAGAAGCTCGCAGTGTCCGTCAATCAGAGCAGAGTACAGACGGGGCTCCTCGCCCTCCTCGGCCGGAGCCTCCTCATCAAGATAAGCGATCTGGAGGTCTGGGTAGGCACGCAGAAGGAACTCGGTGTTCTCGCGCTCTTCCTTGTTGAACTTGGCATAGCGTTGCATGGAAACGCAGAGCTTGAACTTGCGGCGGGCCATACGTTCAAGCTCACGCTCAAGCTTCTCTGAGTTACCACCAAACATCTGGACGACTTCGGGGTTCTCGACACGATACAGGAGCTTGATGGCGCGGCTGAAGTTCATGAAACCGGAGATAGTTCTGTAAAGCGTTTGGGAGCGTAGCGAAGACCAGATACGAGTGCGAAGAGTGTACTCAGGAGCGGCGGACTTGAAACCAACGCAGTAGAATGGCAGGTCATCAATCTTACTCTTCTGAGCATCCTTTTCGCTCTTCTCCTGGTCACCGTTGAACTGCGAGGTCTCGTCCGCCAGAATCTTGGTGTCCTTGACGAAGCAATCCCACTCGTGAGGGTGAAGTTGCTTAAGGTATTCCAGCAGAGTAACACGGGAGTAGGGCTCATCCTCACGAATAATCTCACGCAGGGACAGCAGAATCTTTTCACCGTAGTGAGGAATGAGGACGGTAAAAGTGGGCATGTTGTCGACCGGGAGCGGCTCGGGCATAGGCGTGGACAAGGATTGGGCGAAGAAGGAGATACGACGTTCGGCCTCGCTACCAGCGGGAAAGAACTCAGTCTTGAAAGACTGATCTTCCTGCGAGACGAAAAAGGTAGGGGCACGAAGAGTCCGCTTGCCTTCGACTTCGGAAGGAACCTGGTGGTAGAGCAACTTCTGGACGTGGTCGATGGCCAAAAGGTGCTCTCTATACATGGAAATGATGATAGCGTTCCATACCTGTGAGATGAGAACCTTGGGCTTGTACTTGATTTCCATGTCGGTCGTAGCGAGCACCTTCGAGTAGATACGCTTGGGCAGGCGAGAGAAGACATTTCTCCAGGGCGACCAGATCGAGACACCGAGGTAGAACGACCTGGCGACGGAGAAGATCGTGTTACAGATAACGTACCACAGGTAACTGTCGAGGAAGAAGAGCGTCAAGTCCATGAAGAACATCAGACCCAGGAGAATCTGAGGCTGACGGTGGCAGAGCACGTTGGGGATATAAGTGACACCCGCACACTGGTGAATGCGCATGGGCGACAGGATACGGATAGGATCCTTCAGGGACAAGGTCAGGAAGAAGTAGGACTCAACCAGCTTGGCACCAAAGACACAAATCCAGAGACCGTAAGACATCCACATGTCGTTACCGGTGAGACGAGGGAAGCTAGCCGTGAACGTCTGACTGGCAACGTATTGACGTCCGTGCTTCTTCATATAACTACCAAAGAGACCACCAAGCGGCATGACAGAGAAGAAGAAGAACGTAGCTAAGGCGATGAAGAAGTGGACGATACCGATGACGAGAGCAATCGTCTCGCCGATGGTTTTCTTGAATCCGAAGACAACAACACCAGGAGCAAGATTGACGATGAAAACGGCCAAGAGGAAGAACAGCCGCTTAGTGAGATGCTGCGCGCCAGCCCATCGGCGAGGGACATACATCCATTCACAAATGGTAGCCATGATCTGAATGAAGGAAACCAGAGCACCTCCGAAACCAACAGCAGACCAGTAATAAGAGCCTGGCGGTTTGTTGTCCAACTGCTGTTGGTAGTCGGTGGTGTAAAGCGTCGGGGCGTTGTAAGCAGTGAAGAACCAGAAAGCACCAAGATGGATAACCCAGATACGGTTGAAGTTGGTCACCAGATGGAACCAGGAACGTGTCTCGCGGTAGGTCTTGAAGAAGGCCTTCTTCCAGTCCACATCCTTCAGCTTTGTCCATCTCTCCGCGGGCGGGACATCCACCAGGCGGGTCTTATCCTCGAACGAAATGCGCTCAATGCCCTCGGGGTACCAGAAAAGCTGGTTCATATCATCATAACCGATGATCTTGTCGTGATCACGCTCGCGACGAACATACTTGCCATCTGAGATCTCGTAACCTTGATCACGGCAGAACTGGTACAAGGGGGTGATGATTTCATTCAGATATGTGAGCTCTTCCACGGGCTCAACCCGGTTCTGACACTCGGGAGAGCTGTAGTAGTCATCGGCGCACTTGAAGATGAAGCAGAGGCATTCCGGCAAGTAACGGACCTGGTTGGCCTCACCCCAGCACAGCAGATAAAGGGCAATCTGGCGTACTCTATCATGCTGAGACATGCGGTTCATCCGGGTCTTCCACCGATATTCGGCAGCTTCCAGACTGTTGTCTCCCTCCAAAGCCTCGAGGTTCTCTTCAACATTCTCGGGATTTTGCTGGGCAGCCTTTTTGGCCGCGGCGCGAGCTTTTCTCGTCTTACGATCGGCCTTTCCAAGCTTCATGTTCGCGAAACCAACGGCGTCATCCAGATCCAAATGAGCAGAAAAGTACCACCGGCGGTAGTTCGCGTTGTCACCACCAATGTAGTCGGCGTGGAGCGACAAGAGAGCCTGGTTAGGGGTCATACGAGAAGCTCTGGAATCCAGCTGTGTCATCAAGTGGTCGTACATATTGCGCATGCTGTCCCGCTGGAAACCGAACTTGTTGACCAGGTCGATGAAGATATCCTCGATTTCTTCCTTGGAAACAGGCACCTGACCGTCCGAGGCCCAGGCGGGGAAGGGCTCCCGCGAGCGCTGACCAGCAGGTAGAGCACCACCGTAGTCCATGCCGTACACGGGGGTGGAGGCCCCGGAAGAACGGTTGGCACCATAGGAGACTTGGGAGGAAGGTGGCCGGTAACCGCCGCCATATCCACCACGACCACCATACTGGCTGTCGGCGTAACTATTGTAACGCTCATCGCCGCGGCCGTAGTAATCCATGTCAGCCGCTCGAGCAGTCTCGGATCTCATGGTGAAGTCGCTGAATGTTTCGGAATCCTCTTCGGACTCGCCGCGGCGTCTGCCATTGCCGCCATGGTTGCCCTGGTCATAGTATTGGTCGCCGTAGTACTCGTCTTGGTGGCCACCATCATAGTAACCGCCTTCTTGTTGATACCCTTGGCCTCCCTCGGCGTTGTAATGATTTCTGTTGACCACAGGTTAATCCAGCTCCTCGGGTGGCGAGATGTAGTGGGAGCCCAGGTCACATACCCTCTATCATAGTAACTATCACCATAATTTTCATGATCATAATAAGCCTGGCCATGCTCGTCTTGGTAGTACGAGTCACCATGCTCTTGCTGGTGGCCGTAGCCCTCCTCGTAGTGGCCCCCTCCTGCTGCTGCGGGATAACCGGACATTTTGACGTGCCACAATCACTAACTCTTCGAAGAGGTTCTATACGATTGCGAGTGATGAGTTTCCGCAGTCATACCCAGCAAGGAGCATCCCGTAACCGGGGTGGTCAGGACTTACATGAACAATGACCCATTAAAAATTAGCTGAAAATATTCCCGATGGCTGGAGCATATAACAGGCAGTCGAATTCTTGGTAGGATCCGTTCGCTAAAGATCGAAAAGGTCGAAACACGTCGAGTACACTGAAACCGAGAGCGCTTTTTGTCCCCTGGAGGCACCAGTCCCCGACAGTTGAACGGTGTTGAAAGTGATTCAAACTCAAACCGAAAACAATTGATTCTGCTGGTGACCGACTTGTAAGGCGAAGTCGGGATGTCGTTGGTAAAGTCCGTTTGTTAAACGAGTGGAAGGGGTCAAGCCAGTTGGTCGAAACTGAACTAAAGGGGGGGCGAGCGAAAGGCGTCAATGAATGACCGTTGTAGGTCGAACCTATCTCAGTCAAGCAACACCTCCCTCTTCTTTCCTCGAAACGAAAGAATCAGAAAGAAGGAAGGGAGCCAAGTCGCGTTTTCCTGGGGGGGAAAAGTGGTTGGGTGACTTGGGGGTAGGTGTTTTGGGGGGGGAGTGGGTGGGAGTGGATGATAAGAACAAAAGAGTGGACTGAACAAGACAGGGAACCGAAAAGAAAAAAAGGAAGAGGTTAGGGAAGAAGCAAGCAAGAAAGAGTGAGAGAGTGAGAGAGAGGGAGAGGGAACGAAAGAAGGAAAGGACCCAGAGAGAAGGACGCTTAGAGGAGGCTTGCTTGAGTTGGACGGGTAGTGGTGAAAAAGGGAATTGATTGACCGACAAGCAGGGAAGATAGCACTGGCGCTACTGACTGGGCCAGTCTTTTCGCTGTCGTTCTCGAGCTAATACAGAATACAGTCCTTTCTCAAGTCCTCAGGGCTTTTTTTTTTCTCTCCCTAGGATTGGATTGGGGGGGGAGGAGGGTGGAGGAGGGGGGGCAGAGTGTGTAAGGGAAGGGGGGGGAGAGGAGACTTGTGGTTATTTTGGGATCTGGATCTGCTAAAATACTAGTCGCGATACCGATTTCTCCTGGACTAGTGGTAAATATGCCCGGTCAGCCAGGCCAGGGCGGGGAAATGCAGCCAACCAGCAACTCTTCACGTAATGTTCCATGGGATGGTGCATGCAGTGGTACCTGGTATTTACCAATATTTACCACATCTCGGTATGTTAGATACACGCAAAACAGCATAACGTGTGTAATAAGAGAGTACTTACTGTATGTACCCACCACCATCTCCTCCTCCTCCATCAGCTATTCATCCATCCATCCACTTTCCCAGTCACCTACACTTATCCATCCAGCAGGTACCAGGCTACTACTACCTGTACCCAAGGTACCTTACTGATCAGCTTTGCTCAGCAATTCTTGACATCACGAACAAGAGGCTGGGCCATCTGCTTATGTACAGTGCTGTAACTCCAGAGTATGTAGCTACATTGTATATGTAACCAAAGATACACTATACTTTGCTTTAATTGAGTGCCTGAGATACCGTGGTTAGGGACCTCCCTGGGTGCCACATCTGCCGAATGTGAGGTACGCGTAGGAGATCACCAACAAATTTTCCATCCCGAAAACTACCACATCCATTCATAGAGAGAGAGAGAGAGAATAAACTATTCAACCCCCATCCTAAAAGTCTACCGAATGCAGCAGATGGCGACAATCAGAATCCTCAGTAGACTTGAGTGACTGACGTAGCTGGCAACCACATTGATCCATATTCTCCTCCAAAAGCCTGGAGTGGTGGACACAAAAGTTCAAATCTGCAACAAGTGGACAAGACTCGTCCGGAGATACGTACTGTGTGCTTCGGCATCCATGGAACTCAGCGGCGGCCCCTGAAGCCCACCTCCCCCCGACCCACAATTCTAGACCATCAGGAAATGGGAATTACCCAGATCCGTACCGAAGGGCTGGGAAGTTGATGCGAGTATCGGTGTAATAAATTACGGTATTCGAAATTCGCCGCTGTCTTTGCTTGTTTGCCCTTCCAGTTCACAAGCATTGCTCCCACCAGGCATGAAGGGATGAATCATGAACCATCTTCATTCCTCAACCCGCCCGTACCAGCAACCACAGTCCATCTTGTTACAACATCATAGTGGCAAGGTCACGAATGCGTCGCCGGGGCGGGTGGTTGTTTATTATGGTGGCAGCGGTCTTTGATTTATTGGATCCTTACTCCGTAGCGAGCACCGGATTGTTGCAACAGCTTCATGCTGTGGAGAGTTGGCTCCGTTGCTGAGAAAAGGCTCCTCATACTCAGGTACTGTACACCCCAATAAAAATCTTATCTATGTATTGCTAGTACTCGACTGCGCCCATGTAACGCTTCCTGCATATATGCTCCGCCTCGTAGGAACTTCATAGTCCATTGTATTGAGGATATCATGGCTATCAGTAGCAGGCAAGAATAGGATAAGATTCTGAGCACACTCTCGGCAGTGCAGTTGCATTACCAATCAAGCTGGCAGCATGAATTACTACTCTACAACCGATCATATCATGTCCTTCCACGAAAACTTCTTTTACTTGTATGTTACTGCGTACTTGATCACCCCACACAAAACCATGTACAACTGCAAAAGATAAAGGAAAGAAAAAGGAACACTGTACACGTTACACTGACTCTTTCGCCACGAATCGACACGCATAGGGAAGCATACATCATACAGAATTAGCTGCTTCGACCCACAGCCGCTGAGTAAGGCAGGCACTGAACATCTGACTGCTTTTCCAATTATAGAGCAACCCGTCTCCCTTGCCACAGTCAGTACACAAGAAAGAGACATGCGCCCATGGAGGCACACTGGCACCATTTGACAGGACAAGAACTGAGTAGGATAGCTGCCTGCCAGAAACCAAGCCCGTACATAGTCCAGCCCCAGTGGCCACGAAACTTGTCCAGTGACAGCGGCTGCGCATCACTTCTCACAAGAATGGGGAAGAGGTCTGGGCAAGCCCACCAATACCATTGCATGTACTTGGGGTATATGGAATCCACCGAACTTGTCCACCCACCCTAAGCAATAGAGACAACGTGGTCTGTGATGCCAATTCTTGCGGGAGACTTGCATTGAGTTCGAGGGTTCCCTGATGGCTTGACTGTCTACGGAGACATAGACATGTACATTCCGGTCTTTAGTATTATTAGTTCTACAGCTCTGACGGGAGCGGGGTCTGCCAATGTTCGCTTCAACAGTACAGTACATATTCATAGCACATATGGAAAGAAACGAAGATCGACTCCGCACTCCATACCCATCTATTCTTAAGCATTGCGGATGGGGGCGCATCTAAGACAGTAGTGACAAGAGCCACTCGTCGTCCCCTGAAGACCCGCGAAAGGCCGCAGAGATCTACCCAACTGATTCAAGGGATGCACTATCGGGTTCCAGGTGGTCAACATTGCCGGATGGATTCACTCATTGAGGCTATTTCCAGGTCAGTCAGTTCATGATCACTCTGCAGCGGATTTAGCATCTAAGTCGATCGCTTGCTCTTCACGATCGGATCACTGCTTGCAGAGTATTTTGAGTTGAGAAGTACGATCCCCGGGTATAGATCATCCGTCTCCTTATCTGAGACTCTTACATCCACGGTTGTCCGATCGATAACTCTACGTTGTCGGCCGTTGCAATCTTGGAGAGCATGGTGAATGTATACAGTACATGGATAGGGAGATAGACAAGCAGACAGGCGAACATTGAGATTTGAAACTTACCTGAGAAACAGTAAACCTGCAGACGCAGTTCCGTTGGTACGAGGAGAATTACTGTACGACAAGGCGGCGGGCCTCTTAGCGGCATGTAATCTTTGCAACCTAACCTTACAAACAATCCGCCAACTGTAATGCCACAGCCACTCAAATGGCGCGGATGGGAGGGGGCCGGCGTTAGGAAAAGCCCCCACACCCCAAGAAAACAGGACCCAACTTTCAAGCCTTGATTGCGGTGGCTGTTTTTCTTGCTTTTTGTTCGGTGTCTGCGATTTTGCAAGCCCGTTCTGAACTCCAATGAAATGTTGAATTCCTATTGGTAATTCAGGGAAAGGTAGGTAGGCCACTTTTGTCCTGCTCCATAGTAAGCAGTGAACTAATCAGCCTGTAGACTATGATCGACAGGTGTGGTTGGTGATCGTGTATCGTCTGTCGTTCCGGCCTCCTTAGACACACTCCTTAGCCTCTTTTGCCAGGCTTCCAGCCTTTCTAGTCTACCGGTGGTCTAGGGCGAAGGGGGATAGAGAGAGGCTGTGTGGAGACTCACTTGGATACTCACTCACTCAAGGTACACTGTATTAATTATGAGCACGGAGTACTATTGACAACCATCTTCCCTGGAAGAACCACCGATTCTCAGGACCAAACAAGGATGGCCACTAAATTACAGCTTCCTATTGAAAAGAGACACAATGTGGAATATTGTTAGTGGTAGCCATGGATGAGGACCGGGATATTCAAAAGGAGCCCCGTTATTTGTGAGAAATTCACACCTTCAGGTCAGAGGGACTAAAAGCGTAGCCGCCCCACAAGCTACGTAAGATCCATGATGACATCGGTATCGGTGGGAAAAGCGCCCACGATAACTGGTCTCTGTCTCTTGGGCTGTCCAGGCCACTGAGTATCAATTGGTTCGCAGTGGGATTGGATGTCTATCTCAACGTTCTTCCGCCTGCGTGGCTTGATTGATCAATCCAAACAATAATTCATAACTAGTCTAGTAAGGACAAGGATTAAGTAAAATTATGGATGGCTGAATCAAGTTCCAAAAATATGCAAAGTAAACAATTTCTGACCCGGGTTCCAAAGCCGGCATAGCCATGGAACCGACTGTCCTGCCTTCTCTCTTGACAAAATGATACCACTTAGTACGTTGCAATAGTCGTTACTCCGTGGTATAGTCAACCCCTCGAAGATATAGTGATCTTCACTCAATAGATTAATAAAGGGTTCATGGGACCTAGAACCTCGAGAGAATACTATAGCGCGATACTAGTCAAATGAAATGGTCGGAACAGTAGTCTAGCAGCTGCTCGGGAGCGATATGCAAGATAGGTGCTATGTGTGTGCAATGTCTGCCCGTTCCATTTATATCTTCCTTGCCCTTGCAGCAGATCAGGAACATACATGTACTATGTACTGCACCTCGGTACTTAGACTCGATAGCAACCCAAGTCTCAGGGTCATTGGTGATGTCTAGCATGCACGATATTGTATCATGCAACTCTATAAGTAGAGGTAGAGAAGATAAGACATCCCTCCTCGCAGGATCAACCTCATTCACAGGCATCAGATCCTTTCTTTTCCCCTACCCCTCCTCCCCCTCCCTCGAATCCCCCTGATGGACTCGAATGAATCTCGCCATATCACTTTTCCGAAGGACCCCTTTCCCCTCCCCCAATGATTTCCCCCCCTCCCTAGCTGCTCCGTACTAGCTTGCGGGATATGCGACCGCAAGCAGTAATCCCAATCTCATCGCCAAAGTCCTTATTCTGCCCATTGTGGGGTCATATAATCAGAACACTGGGCTAGCAGGGAGCGGGTTTCAACACTGTTTGAACGGGCCAATGCCCAGGCACCACAGGGTACTAAAGGACACAGGTGGCTGCGAGAGACTGGAGCATAAGATGTAGGTGAAAACCAATCGGATGGGGCAGGAGAGCGGGTGGCGATATCCGCGACGAGCCTAGGTTGATTGCGACGGAGTTGCGACTTCGGTGTGAGTGGTCCGGCCCGGTCGAATGATTGGGGATTGGGAAAAGAAAAGGGGGGCGGCACTTCGTTTCTTCCATCAAGTGTTTCAGATTTCATTTCGCCTGACTTCCGCTCCCCTCCGTCACACTAAATTAGACTACCTAAACTATCATGGATCACTTCCTTTCCTTCTCCCTATGATTTGTGGCTTCAATTGGTTCGGTGTTCTCGCCACGTACAACGCTGACAAACCTATGGTCGACGGTCCGGGCAATGATTAGTTGCGCGGCTCACCTGGTTTCGTACACACAGCTTACGAGGCAAGCAGGCCTATCTGTGCATTGGTCGTCACTCACTAGTACACTACGGTATACGAAGGGAGTACTTCCAAGTGCTATGGTGCGATGACCGTTTTCGACAGCCGACGCCACATATGCAATCGAAAGGCCCCCCGAAATGTGGCGGCGGATGTGGTTCGGTACGGAGCTCTGATCAGATTAGTCGTGCATCTTCCCAAGGTATACCCAGTTCAACCTCTGTTGCTGTTTAAGGTGCGATGATCACCTGTGCGAACCGGCTCGCGACGCGACTAGTTTGAGACTCCCGTACTCTAGAGTGGTGAGTGGGTTGCTTGTCTGGGACAGTTCCACTGACGGGAAAAGGAACGATCGTCGCATGGTGATTCGAACGCCTGGAGATGTCGGATCGTGATCTTCTACCGCGCCTGATAGACGACTTCGCCACTTCGACTGCCACCGAGTACACTGTGCTGCCGGATGTGCAATCCCCTTTATTGGGGATCACCGTCTAGGACAACTCCGTTGGACCAAGAGTCGGGTTGATCCTGTGAACCGGGATGATTCGCACACACGGCCATTGTGGCGATTAAACGTTTTCAATCTCTTCGATAGGCGACTATTCTTCCGCATGACTCTCTTCTGTTCTGCATCTGGCATTCCCGCGTTCATCGCGGTGTAGTGGTCGTCGGCTCACGCATGCGCGTGTCCTTGGGGGTGGGTTGTGGGACAACCGGCGCGATTGCAGGCTGGTGGTTGATCACACGCTCGACCATATTCGCTTGCGAGCATCGTCGGATCTGCTTTGTGGGTGTCCGATTGGTTGTAACTTGTGCTCTATGCTCCCATGTTGTAGCACGAAGCTGGGGGAGCTTGTGTCTGCACTGCAGGCCCTGCAGTCTATCTACGGACGGAGGAATAAGCTCTCTAGCTTTGCCCCTCTGGGTTCCGTTCGGAATCCGCGGTTATTCCTTCCTGGGAACGGGTGTCTCAGTGGAAGGATTATGGCCATCATGCGGTCGTCTGGTCGGTTTGATGAATTGTAACTGCCATTCTGTGGGCGGGCAACATCCCCCGATCTCTATTATTCTGTGTCTGTGGTTCCCTTGTCCTTGCGGCTTTTGCATCTCGGGCGGAATCGTTGGTGTTGTATTCGCTCACGGGTTACTGGGTCTTCCATATTGGCTCTCTGGTGTGTGCACACGGACTGCTGTTCGGTTGCTTCCCTGGGGCACATCAATATTTAATGGTTTGATGGCGTGGGCCAAGCCTCCGGGCACAGCAAAACTGGGGCGCTTACCGGCTGTCTCAGATCATGTTCACATGAACATGCTCTGCACTTCGTCTTTGATTACACTTTCTGTCTGATGGTGTCATCCATGTAACAGGCTGGATCCCGGATGCGCACTCATTCATGTATGGGGCTGGGTTTACCAGTGCTGTCAGCGTCAGCATTGGGGTCCAAGCCTTGCACGTATGGTTACTGCGTGTGTATCGTAAATTCTGGTTCTGGTGTAATTATGGGGGCTTACTGTGCATGGTTCTCTGGTGTACCCCGTATGCACAAAGATGAGTTGTGTCCCTACTGGCTCGGGTCTCACTTTCTTGGAAGTATATATCCGAACCGACAAAGCGACCAGGAGTAGAGCAGGTATTTCGTAGCAACTATAGACGCGATATTAAAGGTGCTGGGGGATTAAGATCCTGCATTGAACCTGAATAGTAAAGGCAAATCAGTAGGTAAGATCATGGCTGACTGCTGCTGTTGCGACCAGTAATAATTTTGGATGGCAGATGCATTGCTTAGACGACCCTGCAGGCAGTTTGTCATATAATCAAGTATCAGGTCTCTTACCATAAGAAGCCCGGGTGGTCTAGTGGTATGATTCTCGCTTAGGGATACAAACCCAAGCATATCTGCGAGAGGTCCCGCGTTCGATCCGCGGCTCGGGCCTTCTATCTCTTTTTGCCAGCATCCAGATCTCTTTTTTGCATTAACCATAACCATCCCCAGCCTCCTCATCCACGATGATGCAATGCCCTCGAAAGTGCAGAGACATCAAGCGGTGTACGCCCCTGGGGCACCGAATGGGCCAACACTGGGACCAAAAACCCCACATCCATGAATTCTATCGGCCAGTGCCTTGGTTCTTTGTCGCCCGCGGGATCTCGCCCGACGCGTTGCTGTGCCAACCGGTCTCCAGAACTCCCACCGCAATTCAATAGTCTTTCCCCAGTATCCAGCCTCGCGCAGATAAAGCGTGCGAGGAGCTGCGCGTCTATCGACAGTAGATGACCACCGACTGCCACGCCAGCCGCAGGTACTGTATGACACCTCAGATCGCCACAGAGCATCGTCACCGACAACGCGGAGGTGGGGTCGCTGCTGCACTGCAAAGCAACCAGCACCTGAGATATATATCCCGACACAATGGCCCGACTCAACCCCAACAGCCCCATCAAGCCCGCGGTGTTCCGGCCTCAAGCCAAGCCCAAAATCACCCAGACGGTCGTTCGCGAGGTCTCCCAGTATGCGACGTCGTCCGCGTCCGAGGCAGAGGATGAACCCCAGCAACAATGGACAGTCACCACACTGAAGGGACAAACAAAGAGCGACTCGGTAGTAACAACAACCACGACAATAATCGCGAAGTCTCCACAACAACAGCCCGAAAACAAACAACGAAGAGTCCGACACCAAAGAACCGGGACCGTCTCCAGTGGGATTTTCGATATCTTCTCCGATAGCGATGGCGGGTTCAGCGAAACCGAGTACAGCAGCGCGCGGTCCTCAACCCGCTCTTTGTGCGAGACACGGACAACAGACCCTTTGAGACTGTCGCAGATCAATTCTTTGTCCGCAGCCCCTTTGTCCCAACCGCCGCCCTCCCCGCGGCGTAGCAGGTCAACAAGGAAGCCGGAGACCTACAATTACGACAAGGAGAATGACCCTATCGAGCACGAGCACGGGCAGGATCGTGACGTTCCCCCGCTGTCGAGGAACCCGTCGGATGCGTCGTCGTCGTCGTCGTCGTCGAGTCGCTCGCCGATGCGTCGACCAGCGGATACTCGACCGACACCAGGAAGAGGCATGTCGAATACCCGTCGCCTGCTTACGGGCTACCGACGGCCAGAACCCGAGTCTGCCGACGAAAAAGAAGAAAGCGAAGAAGACAATGATGCCGACTCAATGGCTGATTTCATTGTCAGCGACAATGAAGACCCCAGTTACCACAATACATCCGAGGATGAAACAGCGGAAGAAGAGTTCGAGAAGCCCGCGCAGCCCTCGCCCTCGCCGCCCCGAACAACCACAAGAAAGAGATTGTTCAGGGGTCGACGACCGGGCTGCGAAGAAAGAGAGATAAAAAAAGATCTGCAAGAAGATCCAGCTGCAGCTGCCTCGGACAATGCGGTGGATCTGAAACTGGCACCATCCTTGCCCGCCAGATTGACAATGGCAGCCCCCAAGCTGGAGGCCACGCCCAGACGCCTCTTTCAGGAGGAGATCAACCTCGCCGACAAGCTGAACAATCTGCACCTGGAGAACAATGATCCGGCCTTCCAACTTCAGCAGAATCCATTCACGTAAGTCTCCCATAAATACCCCATTCACACCCCTGTCTCTCTGAGAAAACCTCCGGTTCGCATGCTAATATACACCCCCAAGGTCCGGTCAATACGATGACTCTCCAACCAAGAGATCGCAGGCCAACAGAAGCATTGAATCGGCAACGGGGACGACGACAACGACGAAGACCTCGACCCCGCCATCGAGTCCCTCGAAGGGACGCCTTCGATCCCCCACGAAAGACAGACTTCGGGTGCACATCCCGCCCACCCCCCACCGCGAGAGCGCAGACGCCTTCTGGAGCGAGGAAGTGACCAACGACTGGGTTACGCAACACTCCCCCTGCAAGGTCGACGACCTCCTCCGGGAGTTCGACGAGGAGTCTGACGTCGAAGTCATCGACGTGGACATCATGCCCCGGGGAGCCAACCGCGGCAGCCAACCACCAGCCTCCCCCAACCGCAAGCCTCTCAGCAAGACGGCGCTCAAACGCGCCGAGACCGAGAAGAAGAAAGCCGAAAAGGCCCACAAGCAAGCTTTTGACGCCTCCAAAGCTGGCTTCGCGGAGAATTTCTTCAAGACGCTCGACGATGCCGTGAACGACGGCCAAGTCCAGAAACTCGCCGCCACGACCGGAGGCGTGGAGATTGTGTGGAGCAAGACCCTTCAAACCACCGCCGGCCGCGCCACCTGGAAGCGAGTCACGCCAGGCAAGCAGCAGCAGCAGCAGCAGCAGCGCGAGTCCGACCTCAGCGGATCCGACAAGGACACCCCCACCAAAGCTGCCAAACACTACGTCAAGATCGAGCTCGCCGACCGGATCATCGACAGCGAGGAGCGCATCATTAAGACGGTGGCGCACGAATACTGCCACCTGGCCAACTACATGATCTCGGACGTGCACGACAACCCGCACGGGGAGAGCTTCAAGGCGTGGGGCCGCAAGTGCATCGAGGCGCTGCAGGACCACCCGGTCTACGGCGGCGGGCGGGTCGAGATCTCCACCAAGCACAACTACAAGATCGACTACAAGTACGTGTGGAGCTGCGTCGACTGCGGCCAGACCTACGGGCGGCACTCGAAGAGCATCAACCCCGTGCGGTCGCGGTGTGGCCGGTGCCACGGGCTGTTGCAGCAGATCAAGCCCAAGCCGCGCAGCGTCTCGCCGCGGAAAAAGCAGCCGCTGTCGCTGCTGCCGAATGCGAGGGGGCTGCTGGCGGAGGTGGCCAAGGTGATGGATGGGGTTGCCGCTGTGACTACGCTGGATGATTCCGACTAGCCGTGGAGGTTCAATACGATAATGTAGTCTTGATGGTGTTTCTTTGGTGCTCAGTTTCTTAGCGGTGATGCATTGGTGTATTTATTTCGGGGTTTGGTTCTGTACTTAATTGTGGGTGCTGCTGACCTGGTGTTAGGGCATGCCCACTAGCTCAAATGTACAAAGATTATTTCTTGCATTAATGGAAGATTGGAGAACCCGACTTCACTTCTTTTCCCTTTCTATATTTTAATATGTAGGGGGTGTTTGATTCAATTCAATGCTAACCTAGGTATCTATCTATACAAGCGACAATTGCGCCAATAACTATCCATATATGCATGATGCTTCCTTTCCGTATCCATCAATATCGTCCCAACATAAGCATTCACCCTATATTCCACCCAGAATCCAAATCCCCATCCCCATCCCCATCCCCATCCGAGACAACCCCCCCCATCATATCGAGACAAATGAATAAGCTAGATGGAATCAAGCAAAAAGCCCCCACTCCACAACCTCCAACCCCCTGACCAACTCCGCCACCACCCCCTCACCCACCTCGACCTCCCTCCGCAACCCCTCCGCATCCCCCCTCTCCACAAACTCCTTCTCGGGAACGTTCACCAACACCAACAAATCAGTCTCCTGCTCCACCAACCTCACCAACAAAAACCAGCACTGCGTTGTCGTTGTCGTCCCCGCCTGGTCCCCACTCGACCCAGCCCCTGCAGCCCCAGCCCCAGCTCCCGCTCCCACAACCCTCTGCTGCTGCTGCTGCAGCTGCAGCTGCAAACCCACCCCCCTCCCCCCACGCACTGGGGACGTAAAACTAACCCGCCCAACATACCCGGCCACATCCCCCTGAAACTTCTCAAGCGCGACCCTAGTCGGCGGCTGTACGATCGCCAGCGTATCCGCGGGATCGCAAATGTCGAGGAGGTGGTGGAGGGCGGCGGCGCGGTTGAGGGATTCTTGGTCTTGCGGGCTGGTTTCCGAAAGGAGGGCCGGGTGGGCGCGCAGGGTGGCTTGGGCGACGGGGTTAGGGACGGGTTGGTTGAGCTCGATGATTAGGGAGGAGAGGGTGGTGGGCGAGAGGTAGAGTTCTTGGTGGTCGGGGATTTCGCGGAGGGTGCTTTTGCCGGGGAGGGGGGCGTTAGTGAGGTGTGACTGGAATGGGGAAGAGGGGATTGGGGATTGGGGCTGGGGCTGGGGCAGGGCAACGTACCTGGCGTCGATCCAGCCTTGGGGGATGATGCCTTGGATGGCGCCGCCGTAGAGGGGTTGGGGGGTGTAGGTTGGCATTGTTTTGTTCTTCTGGGAGGTTGTGGAGGGGTGGAGGGTGGAGGGTAGGTATTTTGTTGTGTGGTTGTGGTTGTGGGAGTGAGGAGATGGTGTAGTATCTGGGAGAATGAGGTATTTATGTCGAGTGGAGATGTTTTGTTGAAAGCTGAAGGAATAAAGATAAGCTACGGAACAGCTGGGATGGAAGAAGAACTTCACATGATAGCGGGGCTGCGGGGGTCTGGCGGCTTGCATAAATGACTAATTATGCTCGGGCTTGTGACTCACCGATCTATAAGATGACTTAGAATCAACAACATCAGTGCCCTGGACTCATATTGTGACTCAATGCTTTATATCTTAAGCACATAGCGTTGCAGAATGATGTATCTTGCTCATATAAGGCTAGACTTATAACTCTCCCGTTAACCCCTAACCAATCTACAAGTCATGGTCATCAACACCGGCCATCTGGACTCATTTGTGACTCAATGCCTATATCTAGCACACAGCGTCGCGGAATGCGATATGTCACCCACTCAAAGGCCGGACTGAATACCTAAGGAGGCTAAGTAATAACGACCGTCATAGTGCTAGCATAATGTGACTCTACACCAGGTGTATACTGGTATACTGTACAGTCAAGCCAAGCCTAATCCCTGCCCCGAATACTCGCCAACTTCTTCCCCAGATGACTCTCCAACACCAACCTCGCATCCGCCACCGACCTCGCATATTGCTCCACGAGCACCTCCAAACTCAACTCCTCCCCCCAATTCTCCTGCTCCAACTGCACCTCCACCCTTCTAACTGCATCCCTCCACACCTCCTCCAACTCCCCCCTCCACCCCAACGCCTCCGCCAACTCGCACACCCCATCGTCACAGTCTCCCAGCACACACACATCCCCGGGCCTCTTCCCCAGATCCCCCGCCGCCTCCCGATTCACCAAAACCCGGGGCACCCCCTCCCGCACCAACCGGGGTAATTGCGAACACGGCGCGACCTTCAAACTCGTCCCCAGCACCAACATAAGCTCCGCCTCGCGCACCACCGCCTCCCGCTCCGCATACTCGGGGGGGATCTCCTCGCCAAAGAAGACGACATCGGGCTTCACCACGCCCCCCTCACACTCAGCCACCGAGCAATACGGCACCGCGCCCATCCGAACCGCCTCCCGCATTTTCGAATCTGGACACGCCGTCCCACACTTCCAGCACCGCTGGCCCGCGCGCCAGCTTCCGTGCACATTCAACGTCTTATCCGCGGGGATCCCCACCTCCGCCTCCAAACCGTCGACTGCGTGAACAGGAAATGGAGCAGGTTCTTGCGACTCAGTAACAGCAGAAAGGCGTGCGTGCGGGTTGGGCGCAAGGTGCGCGGGTGGCGGGCCCGCGCGATCGCGTAGAAGGGCTCCGGCGTGTGCTTGAAGTAACTGAGGCTGAAGAGGGCCTCCGGGTAGGGGAGGAGGTGGCGGAGGGGTTGCAGCTGGTCGTAGAGACCCGACCCGGGAGTGCGGAAGTCCGGGATCCCCGCTGCGGTGGAGATGCCCGCGCCCACGAGGACGACGATGCGTTGGATCTGCTGGGTGCGGATTTGGTGGAGGATTTGGGGCAGGTCTGTCATTTATCTTACTTCTTTTTAGGCTCTTTTTGGGGGAGGGGTTGGGGTTGTAGAGGGCGGTTGGGGGAGGGGGGGGGGGAGGTATGCAGTTGGAAAATATGTAGATGGGGAGTGAAGAGGGGGTTTTTATGCCTTCAGGGCAAGGCTGCATGCGTATCGAGCATATGGATATGATTGGGCTGCAGTCACCCTTCTCATATGGTGAACACTTCTGAACCGACTCCTCGTAGCAACGGCACAATCTATCCAATTATGGTTCAAAGTTCAATACTCCTTCGACCTACTCTATGAAAAGCTCGTCCTATTTCCAAGTAGCTATGCTATGTCTCGGAATTCCGAAGACCCGTTGAGGTCCACCCGAGCACGGAGATAACCACGGCTGCGTCCTCCATGACCCCCAACTGTCACGCCAGTATACCATCCGAGCCATCACCCTACCAGCCCGCCGCGCAGGCCCATCCGTGTGGCCTTTTTCGCAAAATACCTGAGAACTGATTAAACGCGCTTTTAGAAAGTTTTATATCAAAAGACTAAAACTGTATTGATTACTAATAGTATATAATTCTGATTAACTACTCAACTACCACGCCGAACTATATTTTCTGTATGGGCGCAATCTTTAGAGTCGATTATAAGAATTTATTTAAGTCTAAAAAATTAAAAATATACTAAGAACTGACTATAGAAGTACAGATGTTAAGATTTTGCTCCCTCTAATCCGAACTTTATATGCTTTAGCAGGGCCGTTGGCAGGACTAGCGTGTTTATAATAGGCGCAATTAAAAGTGCTGGCTTTGCTGATAAGATTGATGTCTGAATATTGATAAAGTAAGCCTTTTTAAGATAGAAAGTATAAGGTTAAAACTGGTGGGTTTGTATACTAAGAATAAGAGAGACGCGTTTAAAAAGATTGAATACTCAGTTCTCATACTCTCTACGAGAAATTGAAAGCCGCATATTCTGATTGATCTATACGTATCCACATATATCTAATTAGAAATAGTATATGCATAACTTGAAGCTAGTCCTAGAGCGACTATTCCACGTCCAGAGGGGCTGAGCCTGCTGAGATAATTGAAAAGGTGCTTGAACAGATGCAAGTACGGGCCCTGCTGGGCCCGCTAGAGGCGCGTCGCAACGCCTTGGCCAAGGGAGGAACCCGCAGGTCAGGCCCTCGTATGTTCCTTTTTGTTATCCTGTTTCTTTGTCTCCCGCGTCCTGCTTCCGTCGGTGGTTGTCCTCCGCCTACAGGTATACTTCATGGGACAAAGGACCCGCCAACCTTGGAGCTGACTGGTTAGCCAAATCTACCTCCATCTGTTGGTCTCTTAGAATCACTGCGGAACTCGCTTTTAATGGCTCTCTCTATTAATGGCACCGTCTGTTAATGGTACTGTCTGTTTCCCTAACCACTCAAGCTTTTCCAGGCTGTCTCTTTCTCCCCACCTTCTTCGGCCTACTTTAGCACCTTCCGTTTCTTCCTTCTTATTATAGCTCCTGTCACTGCTACGACACACGATTCGACATGCAATCCGCCAGCGCTTACAGTCCAGTAGCATCGTGCTTATCCACGCTGTCGATTGTTCGAATCATGGCTGCAGGGAAGTGTAACGATTTTCTTACATCAGGGAATATAAGACTACCATGCCCCTGTGAGCGAGGCATTCACCCCATTTATCTTGACAAGCCCAAGCAAGTCAGCCGACTTGATCTATGCAAAGAGTGCAGCCATACACTTGAGATGCATGATGATTTCGAGATTCTGTCCGAAGGTTCGCCGTCTGTCAGTGGTCTAGAGCAACCGCACGTTGAGACCAGTGAAGTATACAAAGGTTATGTTCTGTCTGTACTGCTCTTATATCCTAGCTAATAGTGTGTCGCGGTCACAGTCACGCTTAAGGCGCAGGACCCGAACATCTGTCCTCGACAGGACACAGTTTCAGTACTAGCCGACATTATCAAAAACAATCTAGTTACCCATGTTCGGGGTACTCCTGCGAGCGGAAAGACAATGCTTGCTCGCCTGCTTCGTGATCATCTTATCGAGAACGGCTGGAAAGTCTTTTTCATGGGCACATGGGGAGTACACCTTATTAAATTTGCTCCCGATGATTACGATAACGCTTGGGATGTGTTGGGACTTAAGCTTAGGATCGCTACCCAAAGCAGAATCCAGCAGTCTTTTCCGCTCCAAACTCTCTGCTTCTTGTTGACGAGGCACAGGCGTCATACAAAGATGAGATACTCTGGGGCGAAATTATCAAGGAGCAACTGAATGGTATCGTTAAGAGAGACATGCGAATTTGCCTCGTCTGTTCTTATGGGAGTCCAACCACCGGCGTCGAGCCTGGTATCTTTATCCCAGCCGAATTTACCACGAGCCAGCGCATTACCATCACTCCGCAACAAATTCCAGGCTCCCCGCAAATAGGCCTTTTTTACACCAGGCTCGAATTTGACGACGCTGTTTCCCGAAAATTTCAGCACCAGTATCATGACAACTTCACTCTACATGAGGAAGCCGGTGGCTATATATTCTCTTTCACAAATGGGCATCCCGGAGCTGTAAACGCGATAGTATCCTACATCTATGAAGTATGTTTTGTTTACTATCCATCTTGGCAATGATCTTTGGTCAAGTGTGAATAGAACTATGTGGCTGATTTAGGCTTCAGTAATATCGCAGCCCGATTACACATGGGAAATTACCCGTGATGACGAAACAGCATGTTATTCTCAGCTTGAAAGAAGATGAAGAAATTTGGACGCATCTCGCATCTTGCTCTGTCGCTCGTTCTTTTCCGAAAGGCCCTAAACTGACACCTCGAGTTGTCAATGTCCTTGGAGACATTGCGGAGCAAGGAAGCATCGAATGGGAGGAGAACAATGAAGGGATGGGTCAATGTTATGTGAACGGCTGGATCCATAAGACCGTCGTGCTTGATGCCACTTGCCCTATTGGAAAAGACATGGTTGTTCTTCCGTCACGTCTACACGAGAAGTAAGTTCCTCTTATATGTTACCTCCTTTGAAGAATTCTAAACAGAACTAGGTGGGTCGAAAGATTTGTTGGCGGTATACCAGCCTCTCTGCCCCTACGATTTGATGCGCTTCAAACCCTTTGTTGTGAAGTCCTCGGTCGCTTTTCCGTCATGTCTTTACGACATGCCTCCAAGGGGAAGAAAATGTCCAGCGCATCGACATATAGGGCTGTGGAAGCTCAGTACCAAGACGAGTTCTATAAAGCATTCAGATCGGTTGCTGGGCGGGCGGTTCCAATTTGCTCGGAGCGGTCCAGAACGCAGGACGGCAGAGCGGATTTCTACATACCCGAGAAGAAGTGGGCCATCGAAGTCCTCCGTGACCACAGAAAGATTGACGAGCATGTCTTAAGGTTCCGCGAGGGAGGAGCGTACTATGGCTGGATAGAGGACGGCACAATTCAAGAATGGATTGTCATTGATAGTGCGACTATTTTGCGTAACAAAGGTCAGTTCTGTTCTCTCTGACTTGCTTCATGTTGCTTATAGTCTACAGTTTACCGTGAGCCAAATCTCATCCATGCCATCTTCCTAGCAGATTACACAGAGTTACAAGTCTTTGGTCGGCAGAGGTTATCTATATATAAAGCTCGCCTACAAAATTGATATGAATTTGTCTTTAAGTTAGTATGTGTGTTAAGGCTTACTACGTTCTTTTTGCGGTTGTCCTTCAATGAAAGTTCTAATGCTAGTAGGTTGGTTAATCTTATACTACGAGGTCCTGGTCATCGGGTGACTTGTGATCAGCATCGGCCTGGGCATGCAAAGCACGCCAAATCTTTGTGATTGGGCCTATAGGTTTGGGTAGATATGTATATATTAAAGTCTACTAAGAATGATTTATATAAGTAAAGAATTACGCGAGGAACTATGTAAGCAAGGCTGTTTATGTGAGTAAGGCTCTTTATGCAAGCAAAGCTATTTATGCAAGGATGGCCGCAAGCAAGGGTTTTTGTGCAAGCGAGATTCAAAATACGAGCGAGGCAGACCGCGGCGGTCCTCGCAGAACAATTGAGATTCTTTGTACTCCTTGAGGTCTGTTACGATGTGCTTCGCAATCATGTGAGCCCACGTGGCGCAGTTGGTTAAGAGTAGTACTGTAATGAGAATCAGTGCAAAGCCTGATTATCCGAGGGCGTTGTGGTAATTGATTTGGGGTCATCGACGGATGTTGGAGCATCATTCTGGGGAGAAGTTGGCGAGTATTCAGAGCAGAAGTTGGCTTGAGATCCACTGGCATTTAGCGTAGAGTCCCGTCATGATATGCTGGCACTATTCCAACTACGAGTACTCCGTAGATGCTGCAGACTCGGCAAAGTGCTCAACATGCCGATGGTAGGGCGGGCTCGGTAAGAGCTGCCTCGGTCCCCGAGCCTAGCCCTAAACCGCCGGAACTGGAACTATGGAGTCGACGCTGGCGCCTCATAGCAAAATCTACCTAACTTGAAGCACTACAGTACTCACCAATATGATCAATTCCAAACGAGAGTAACCAGATCAAACACGAGACCACCTACCTATCGACGTATCTCGAGCAGATATTCATCATCTCCAGCTTCCTCCCCCTCCCCCTTTCCACTCCACGCAATCTGCACGGTCTCATACTTCGGTCTCGGCAACACAACCATACAGCCGACCGGCAATCCGGGGTCGTAGCTTCTGATTGATCCGCGCCATCCTCCCACCTGTTTCTCTTGCCCACTACTTACAACGAACCCTTGAGATGAATCTTTTCCCTCCTCCTCTACCTCATGCTTTCCCTCTAGCCCACCAACCCCATTGCCTGTCAGCATAGCGGGACCTCATCATCACCATGTCCTTTATCAGACCGCGCCCCCACCTCTTCCTCCATTCCCTGCATACGTCACCGCCACCACCACCACCAGCAGCAGCAGCCGCACGAGTCCAACTGGCCTACGAGCTCCATCACCACCACCGCCAACCACCTCGCATCAGCAGCAGCAGTAGCCCCTCAACATCGCCAATTCTCTTCCTCCATGGGTTTCTCGGCTCAAAGCGCGAGAATCGGACGATTAGTAGGCAAGCACTTCCCTCCCGACTTGGGTTCGTTGTAGTAGTTCCAACGTCCCCTGGCGTCTTTTCTCCCCCTTCTTCTTATTTCCCGCCGTACCCACTAGTCATGCTGTACCTCAGAAACGATACTGGGAAACCCATGGTAGCTAACATGAGGACTTAGACAACTGGCCAAGGATACCTCTCGATCAGTCTATGCATTGGTATGTTCCTTTCCTTCTCTTGTGGAAATAACCGGAATTACATTGTTGCCGCCGAGTCATGCCACTTCCCATTGAGATTTAGTACCTAGCGATACTCCAGGCACTTGAATTGATTTCGGATAATTTGACACGGAAACAGGATCTGCGCAATCACGGCGACTCCGGCCACCATCCGAAACACGATTATGTGGAACTCGCGCTAGATGTGCGAAGCTTCATCGAGAAGCACCGCATTCGAGAGCCGACGATCATCGGACATTCGATGTATGTGCGAGAAATCTCTTTGCCCACCCGCCATTCTTCAGTCATTGATCTAATCTTTCTCTCATGCTCACAGGGGAGCGAAAACAGCTTTAACCCTGGCGCTGGAATCTCCCCACCTCATCAAAGATGTCGTGGCCATCGACAACGGTCCCATCCATCTGCCGCTCAAATCGGATTTTCTTGGATACCTCCAAGGCTTGGCCCGATTGCAAGAGGAGCGGATCACGAGCCATCGGCAAGCCGATGAAATTCTGGCGGCATATGAGAAGGTAAACTACCTTTACCAATGATGTCCTTTCTTGTTTCCGTTCTAAAATTGATTATCAGTTCTCTGACTAATAATCTAGGACCCCGCCATTCGGCTCTGGCTCATCAGCAACCTCGTAAAGAAACCAAATTCGCCATATCTCGACCTGCGAATTCCTGTGGAGATCCTGAAAACGGCCATGGGGCCTTTGGGCAATTTCCCCTACCGAGAGACCCAGGAAGAAGGAGGATGCAGGCAGTTTCATGGACGGTTACTCTTCCTGAGAGCACTTCGGAGCCATTACATTCCGGAAACGGCATTTCCGACGATATTTTCGTTCTTCCCAGCCTCCAAGATCGTAAATATCGATAGTGGTCACTGGATCGTTCAAGAGAAACCGGAGGAACTCCGGCAAAGTACGTTTGTGCTTCCCCTGCCCAACCTATCCCTCGTTATTATCGCCTGGAGCCGAATGCGCGATACTGACGCTTAGTCCTTCGTTCTAGTTGTTACCGAGTTTTTGTCATAGCCTAGAAAAGGCCCCGTCCGGTGGCCGATGGGCTTTGCATGTTAGACGATTTTCCGAACAAACATGCGAAACCTCCTTGCAGGCTCGACCCAAGATGTTGTTTGTGCATGCAGGGTCGCTCATACACAAGCAGAACCGCAACAACTTTGCAAGCCGGCCCGTGTAACAACATCCTTAGTATGTCGTATCCAGATCACTGTCCAGAGTAGGCCAATAGATTCCTTGCATTTGTGTATCAGTCAAGAACTCGTCCAGTTGAGCCGGAAAAAACTCGTCCTGTGACAAGAACGCGCCCATTGAGGGCTCCATGAAGACGGCACTGCTCCCACCGGCAGCCTGCTGCGTCATAAGTAGAGGCGGTCCGACGTCCGCAATGGACGCGCGCGGCTGGATAGCGGGGACATTCTGATGAGCCTCGACACCTGAAAGCGGTCCCTCGGTGATAGCGTCGTTTGTTGAAGGATATGGATCATCCGCGATTGTAAGACCCTGTATGTCAGTCTTGATCCCATCCAGGTGTTGGCAGTAATCCCTAGCAGGATAGTTTCCAGCATCGCGTAGTCTTTCGAGCAGGTGACTGGCAAATTCAAACTTCTGTCGATCTTCTTCAGGACTGTCGGTGAGCAGACTCGCGATAGCCAGGATGGTAGTAGCGGAGAAGAGCTGCTGGGTCGTGAAGCAGTTGAATGTCCGCACCGATCCTTCGCTCCAAGCTTCGGTGATGATGTTGAGTGAGTCTCGCGCGCACTGGATACATGCTTCTGCGAGTGTTCGTGTATCAGTGTGGAGATGATCCATGCTGGGTGAATTTACCCCAGCCGTCATCCGAACGCGAGTCACGTAGAGGAGGACAGGGCGAGTGGTCAAGATCAAACACTGGAAGGGTCAGTCGGGTCACTTTTTAGGCAACAACAGAATCAAGCCAACCTGGTTGAAGGAGAGATGGAGGTCCATCGTGGCGGGTCCTCGATAAGAGCCGTTTGCAGTCGCCCTCAAAGCCTCTGGTATAGTCCGATACCAGTGCCGAAGATCCTTCAGGGCACTTTGAACCCGACCCAAGAAAGGGCTAGAGTATGTACTTCGCCCGTAGAGTGTCCTGATAATCCTGTTGGTCAGCCTGGCAAGAGAGATTCTCGACGCAAGAGAATCGGTGCACTGAAAATCCACAGCTTGGATCTCGGTAAGTTGGATCTCCTTAGGAACATCAACAAAGATCTCCTCGTCCGAGACTGATATTGCTTGGCTGCTGATAGTTGCACACTGATGATCGAGGAGATAGGAAGTCCACCAAAGTCGATTTAGGTGTTCCCGAGTACCTGCATCATGAATTTGAGAGTCCGGTACGTTGAAGTGTAACCCCATGACGATGCAGTGCCGAATGGCGGAGCTGGCTAAGAAGTATGCAGAATGACGCCTGTTGACGTGTAGCGAGAACAGAGCCTAGAGCACCCTTCAGCAAAAGGGAAAAAGACAACGGAAAGACATAGGCGCCCATTCTGAGTTGCAGTATACTTACCAAGATCAGACAGGTCTCCACGTAGTCAGTGGTGGGCCGTTCATGTAAGGCACCGTACGCCTTGCTCGCATCCTTGAAGAATACCATACCCGGTACCCCGTCAGGTGAAGTTTTACCCTGGCTTGAATAAAGCTCCCCAAATGCGAACAACGCAGAGATCTTACATTTAGAGAGAGGGTCTAGCGAGGCTGGCGCTTGGATGTACTTGTCAAATAGGGACCAGGTGGCACTTTTCCGCACAATGTGATAACGCCCGTCAAAGTATGCTAGAGCTGTTTTGAGCAAGAAGCGGGCATGTACATGGTTCAGCTCAGGAAGGACGCAGTCAGGCACTGGATCATTTGCAGGATAGGCTGTCCTCGGAATGTGGTTTTGGGGCCTCTTGGAGATAGTTTGACGGATTCGAGTTGCGAAGGCCGGATCAGCAACCTCGCCTATCAGGATGGGAATTCGGGAAGAGTTGACAGGCAGGAACCACGGTCTTTCATCCATCAAGGGGTTTCGAGTCGGTTCTTCGAAGTGATCCGTTGTTGGGCTCGTTGGCGTAGGCTCTGGGGCAGGCTCTGGGGCAGATCTAATTCGATCCCCAGAGCGAGCGCGCAGAGCATCATTTTCTTGAATGAGTCGGTCGAGATAACAATTTCGGACCCCTTCTTCAGCCAAGATCCACAATCCCAGGTTTCAGCATCAGCACACACTTTTGACTGATCTTGATCTGACGATCTCGCTTCGGATATATACACTCCGACACGCAGTCCGATTGCACACAGGTCTTACAGGGGGCGCCTCCGGGGCATCGGACCTTCCTTGCATGACACCTTTCGCAGCTAGAAGACAGTTATAGAAGTTATTGCTTTGATGCCGCTGAGCGGAACGGATGAGCACTTACGCGACCGATTTGGATTTGCGAGCAGACCCGGCTAGACGCCGATCCACACCTCTAACCTTCTGGCTCCTGTCTGGCGGCATTCGAGTAGCTTTTGCCCGATGAGAAGGGGGGAGGGGGGTGACAAAAAGGCCGAGTTGATGATTTCGCTGGAGAAGATGGAGTGGCGAGGGAGACTACCTTATCTTCTCGGCAAGAGCAAGTCCGTGCCGGCGAGGGAGGAGGATGATTACCTCAGCCTGTATGTATTGTATGCATTGCATGCATCAACCACACGACATCCTCTGTCCCTGGAATCACAACATCACTAAGTTTCATCATATACACTTTAGAGTGATATGCAAACGCGCGCCGTTTCAATGCCGGGTCGGTCCACGCGGCGAGTCTGCCTCATTGGCCGAACGAGGGGCGATACTGGATATGACCCAGAGTAAACGAACGGCAAAAAGGGTTTCGTGCCGACTAATCGTCGTTTCGCTTGCTCAGTCTGTTGGCTATTATTATAGAGGAAAGACTCCCTTGGATCTTTGTCCAGAAGGAAGCTCAGCTGCCTGAAGCCCACCATCTTTGATATCCACATCCGTCGACCCGTTCTTCCCAATTCAAACCAAGCACAATCTCATAGCCTGCACCGCGATTGACCGACCCACGCAATGTCAGACTGGGCTCACGTCTCTAACCCTCAGCGTCTCGAGAAGGCCGCCGAGCTGAACGCCGCCGAGTGCGTTCGAAACCTCTCCCACTGGGCGCATGCAGTCGACGAGATCGCGACGTGGCCCGAGTACAGCCCTCAGCCGCTGCACTCCATGACAAACACGGCGAGAGAACTGAAGCTTGCGAACCTATTCGTGAAAGACGAAAGCACACGGTTCGGAACCAGTCTCGGCTCATTCAAAGCTCTCAGGGCGCCGTACGCCGTTTTCCGGATCTTGGCTGACAAGGTGTTCGCAAAGACTGGCGTGCGACCGACATCAGCTGAGCTGAGGACAGGCAAATACAGGACCATCACAGAGCGGGTCACCGTCTGCGTGGCCACGGATGGCAATCAGGGCAGAGGACTCGCCTACGGAGCCAAGATCTTCGGGTGTCGGTGTGTCGACTACATCCACAACCACGTCAGCGAGGGCCGCGCCGAGGCCATGAAAGACCTGGGCGCCGTCGTGATCCGCATCGACGGCGAGTACGAGGCCTCCGTAGAGCGCGCCAAGGAGGATGCGCGCATGGACGGATGGCACTTCGTCAGCAGTACCTCGTGGAGCGACTTCGACGGCGGGATCCTGCAGAATGTGATGAATGCATACATGGTGGTGGTCGAGGAAGCCCTTCGCATGCTCCCCGCCGAGGCAGCGATTTCGCACGTCTTCGTCTGTGGTGGGGTGGGCAGCATCGCGGCGGCCGTGTTCCTGGGGTTCATGCTTCGTCACCAGAGCCTCAAGCAGACGGGCAGCACTCTTGAATCACCGCCTCGATTTGTGGTGGTGGAGCCACGGGAGGCGGATTGCCTCTTCCAAAGCGCCCGTCAAAGCGCTCCCATCCAGTCAGAGGGGACTCTACGAACGCTGATGGCCGGCCTGGCGTGTCGCGCACCCTCACCAGCCGCCTGGAAGGTTCTGTCGTGGTTGGCTAGCGATTTTGTCTCGGTTCCAGATACGGTGGCTGTGGAGGGAATGAAGTTTCTGGCCAGCCCGGCCGCCGGTGACGTGCCGGTGGTCTGCGGTGAGTCGTCTGCCGCCAACATGGGTGTCTTGTTGCAGGCTGGATCTGATCATGGGCTCCGCGAGAGACTCGGCTTGGATGAAAACAGCCAGGTAATGATCTTCAATCTAGAGGGAGCTACGGATCCGAAGATTTTCGAGGAGCTTGTTGGACAGTCCCCTCAAGCAGTATTTGCTGCCCAGTCTTCTTCCACGAGACCTTAGGGATAGTAATGCAACAGTATATACCCTTCCATATTTATTAGCAATAAAGGTGGACGCATTGTATGCCAGCCTTTTTCGCAGTGGTCAACCATCCATCCATGAGCAGGTAGTACCAAAGCACAGTACATCTGAGCCTTACCCAAAGAATACTTCTATAAGATCTTACAACAAACCCCCACATTACTTCCCACTACAACATCCAACTGCCCCGTTCAAAGATGAGCCACAACCTCAATCTCCACATCCGTCCCCAGCGGCAGCTGCTTCACGGCCACACAAGTTCTTGCCTGCACCCATCAGTCAGTCAGGACATTCGCGCCCCACCATCCAAACCACCAGAGAAACACATACCGGCGGCGAGCCATTGCTGAACACACTCAAGTAGGCCTCATTCATGGTCCCATAGTTACTCATATCATCGATAAAGATCGTGGCTTTAATCTTGAACGTTTCAAGGAAGCAGATGAATTAGTGCTCAGCTGCGTCTATGATCAAAACGCACACCTCGGCCAAGGCGAGAACTCACGATATTATCCAAGCAGCTCCCCGCCGCCTCGAGGATGTTCGAGAGATTCTTCAGGCATTGGACCTGTCAACGATGCCGTCAGCAAGAGTCTCCAGGTCATAATCGAATCGCGAGCCTCGATCGTACCGTGCGGTCTCCGGTAGTCCCTTCGACCAGCCGGCCCGTCGCGGGGTCCATACCCACGGCTCCCGAGGTATAGACCGTCTTCTCGTGCACGATGGCCTGGGAGAAGAAAGGCTTGGGGGCCGGGGCGTTGTCGGTTCGGATGGCGCGTTTGCTCATGGCTGCGCGTGCTTGTTCCGTTTACTTTGGTAGGTGAGGGGAGGGGAACGGAGGAAAGTGAAGGGAGGGAGGGGGGAGGGAGGGTGGAGGTAGAGAGAGAAAGAGGATTGGGTATTATTTGTAGGACATATTCAAATAAGTATAGAGAATAGCATCTCTGTTGGTAGCTCTTGCTTGGGAGACTTGGGTGTACGGTATGGTTACAGCACAAACAATGCACGGCATGTTGGATGCGAATGCCGAGCGCTTCTCGGCACCGGAAATGAACTTCCCGGCGTCGCGGTGGGGATGCATAATCTTCGCTTCTGGATCTCAAACTTTCATGTTCTGTGTTTCTTGTTACATTTTGTTTTTCATGTGTCTGCCTGAGTGGTTCATTCTACACGTGTTTATGGCTTACAATTTTTGAAGGTATAAGCTAAGCGAACCATGAAATTTAGGCCGTTCTAGATACAGTACATGCAGCATCATATCTAGCAAGACACAAGAGTTCAGTATGTTCAGCCGGTGGTGGCTAAGTACACCTCCCCGAAAATGTACACGGACGAATTAAGTGATATCCCGGATATGATCCTCATGCAGGGCAATCTACTAAACCAATTGCCCGGGTCTCAAGCCCAACTCCACACAAACCCGCTCCAAGCTCTGCGTTTGTGCGCGCTGATACCACTCATCGACATCCATTGGTCGCTCCTGGAGCGCCCTCTCGAGTCCCTCCCGATCGCTCTTCCTTTCTTGACAGAGTACGCGATTGCTGGTCGAACCTTGAGACTGTAGGTTGGATTGAAAGATCCCTGCGGCGGAGAAGGGAAGAAAATCCTCATACGTGATGGGCGACGCCTCGATCCGCCCTTCGCCTATCAATTGCTCCAGAGAATAAGTGCTGGATCTATCTTGCGGCAAGGCGTCCATGCTATCTTTTCCCGTGCAACGGTATTCACAGTAGATCAACCCCTGCTGCCTCAGCTCGGTCCAGTCATCCGGGTACTGTTTGAAGACCGCAGCCATGACGGCATCGACCTGCTCGGGGTCGGCGCCTGTAGCTTGAGCCATGCTTTCCTCCAAAAGTCTGTCATATAGCTGTCTGCCTTTGGGTGTGACGGCAGCGCCTCGCTCTTCGATTTCGCCGAAACAGGCCTTGTGAGTACCTCTCACCCAGTGGCTCTCGCCGGGACCCGAAGAAGTTTTGAAGTTCACCGTTTCCTCCAGAGCAAGGAAGCTGGTCTGCCGGAGGAGAATCGGACACTTACGAAGGGGCGGACCTTCGATGCGGGACTTGACCGCCATGCCCGCGGCCTTCATGGTAGCCTGGACCTCGGCGATGTCCAATGTTCGCGGCGTGAGATGATTGATGTGAGCGCTCTGGAAGCAGGCGATGTCGGCCAAAATGGGATGCTCATGCTTCAGGACTTGGTACTGCTCGTATGTTGCGGCTGCTACCGACTGCCAACTGAAGCTGCGGAGCGCTTCGGGAACGAACACCGCCGCTTGCTCCCTGGTAAGTCTATGATGCTGTGCTTCGGCAACGTCGAGTAGTTTCAGAAGCTTATCGGTGAAGATCTCCTTTTGCCTCAGCAAGCTTATGGCCTGCTCTCTGGCGACTTCTGACGCCAGTAGCTCTGGCCGAAGGAGTGTGGTGAACACCCGAAAGGGATTGCGATCGAGGCTCGAAGTTGTCCGCGGGCGAAAGCAGGTCGCGTGCATTGGGAGCCCGGCCACAGATAGATCGTAGTAGCCTACGGGTTGCATGCCCAGCACCCGGAAAATTCGTCGCATAATCTGAAGCTCGTAGGGGGTTCTGAGGCGGATAGCCCCGTGTCGTTCGAGGGTCGGTCGCTCTGCGCTGGCTCGCAGCGCCACCGTATCGGAGGTAGGATCGACTGTTGCTGCATTGATGTCGCGCACGATCTTGATCAGGTCGCCGTACAGAGGCACTTCCTGCTTGTACATTGCAGACATGGCGGAGGCGAACTCCGTCCGCAAGTCATCGGCCTCAACCATCGGAGGGTGAGCTGGCTCGATTATCTGGGTCATGGCGTAAATTGCTGTTTGTCTGGCGTGGAAGGATTTGAGCTCAGATGTCGAGGAACAAGGACCTGCGCATCCCGCAGCGCAACTATCGACTTATATTGACATCGGTACCAGGATTGCGCGTACAAGTACATGAGACTGATGCATGTGATTGATTCAACGTCAGCTCAGAGCAGAAGTGTATGCATATCTTCGGCAAGATAGTCTCGTTGCCGAAGTAGTAGACGGAGGGAATTGTACTTTCCCGTGTCCGGCGTAGATTCTTGCTGCCCCGAGGGGAACCACGGGTTAAATGCGAAGGCCAGGTGGGCGATGCAAAGAGAAATGGGAGAAAGTAAATGAATATCATACGATGCTTATATGTACTGATTGAGTGAGATGTGCACTTATCTATCAAGTACCTAACTAGACCTTCACCTTCCATCTCCACCTCCACTCCAATAGCGCCCACCGCGAACAAACGACACTCACCAAGCCGACGACCAGAACCGCGGCGTAGAATCCCACCAAGACCTGCGGGGTCGTCTTCTGCAGCAGCTCTCCACCCACGGGCACCGTCAGCAACGCGCCAAAGGCCGCGACACTGTAGATGGTGCCGTAGAACCGGCCGTACTCCTCTGTCCGGCAGAGTTGGCCCGCGCACACGGGCGCCAGCGAGATCCAGCCCCCGGATCCAAAGCCGAAGATCGCCACCACGGTGTATAGCGTGGCTTCGTCGTGGGAGCCGACGGGGATCCAGACGGCGGCCATGACGAGGAGGGTCAGCACGACCAGCGACAGCAGGATGTTGAAGCGGCCGAACAGATCGGCCGCCAGCCCGGGGAGGACGCGGCCCAGCAGACTCATGCTGTTCAGCACCGTCAGCGAGTAGTACTGGACGTCGAGCGCCAGGCTGGCGTAGCGGACGTAGGTGGGCAGCAGCGACGCGCAGCCGAAGATGATGAACTCGAAGGCGAAGACGGCGACGGCGAGGAAGCACAGCCGCGGCGACCGGAAGACGGTGAGGTCGATCGTGGCGCCACTCTGCGTGCTGGCAGGCAGGCGGCCCTTCACCAGGAAAATGCCCAGCGCGTAGCAGGCCAGGGCGACCAGGGCGATGATGCGCAGCGACCAGGCCCACCCGTACTGGCCGAAGCATCGGCGCAGGATGAGCGGCAGGATCGCGCCCCCGGCCGAGGACCCCGCCATGCAGATGCCCGACGCCAGCGCCCGCCGCCGGAAAAACCAGTGGCTCAGCACGCTGATGGCCACAGTGGTCACGACCGCCGCGGAGATGCCGCCCAGGATGCTCAGGCAAAGGATGAACTGCCAGTACTGCGAGCATTCGGCGAGCAGAAGGTAGGAGAGGAAGCTGGCCAGCGAGCCGCAGGTCAGCAGCACGCGCGGCCCGTAGCGATCGAACAGGGGTCCGACTTGAACCCCGAGGAAGAGAGTCAGGAAGGTGAGGATGGCGGTGATCCACCCGACATCGCGGACGCTGTAGTCAGCCAGCTGGTGGACACTGATGTAATCTTGCACGGTTCCCACTGCAGGACCAAGTCAGAATGAGAGTCAGAATGAGAGTCAGAAATGAGAATCAGTGGAAAGTGTCTTGTCTCCTCACACAAATCGATCAGAACTCACCGGCAGTCTGGAAGCCAAAAGATGGAAACATCATTAACGCGGAGCCCAGCAGACAAGTCCATGCATCGCGCCCACCTTCGGGGAATGCCAGACTGACGGACCCAGTGGTGGGGGCGACATCTTCCGGAAGTTCAGAGGATGTTTCGGGTTCTGGGTTCAAGTTGGTTAACTCCTGATTCAACATTCTATTCAGGGAATGTTTGGTGCTTTGGTGAAGATGACCTGTGTCGAAGAACGAAAAGGACAGACATTTTCCCTTTTATCATCATCTATTTCGAAGGGGAGCCTTTGGGGGTGGGGCAGACAAGGTCACTTGAAGGGCGTGCGGGTGGAGAAATAAAGAGATCAACTATCGAGTTAGTTAGGTAACTCTAACTTAACCTAATTCATTTTTTTTATTTATACATGGTACTCCACATCATTGGGATACGTACCATATTGAGTCAAAGATTTCTGCTGCTGCTGCTGCTGCTGCTTTCGACTCACTCCGGCGAGAATTTCCGTATTCAAGGTTGGCTTAGTAGGAAACCAATTGAACCATGGACCGAGTCAGAACTCGTACCGTCGAGTGTTGAAATCGAGTTGGGTTGGTGAAACCCATTCTGATAATTTTGATAATTCTGACAATTCTGACAATGACTATTAACTATGCAGAGGACAAAGGATTCACAATAATGCGGGCTGCTGACTGTCAATCTATATTTATCAGGGCTTTACATCTGACGACTACATTGAATTTTGAGCTATGATTTTGCACAAATTCATAAGTTTCATACAGTGAGGCAAGGGAGAGAAGAGACAATTGAATTATCACAGGCCAAGTAGCTCCTCAAGGTAGTCATCCAACGCTATAATCCGGAACTGACTTCCCCATTTCGCGCGAAAGTCCTTCCGGCGATAAGCATAACTAGTAACGGGAGTAAAACTGACCAACTCCACGGTCCACCCGCGTCGCAGTGCTCTTTCCACCATTTTCATGAACCCACCCGAGAACTCGGCTTCCGCCGCGTCGCCCGTGGCAAGAACAATGGTGGCGGGTTCGTCTGTATCAAGCAGACTCTCCAAAATCTTCAGATGTAGAATTTCGTCCACACCCTGCTCAACCCAACGCTCCTCCGGTCCCTCGTTCGTTTCAGAACCACTACCGGGGTCGTGGGAACCCGTCCGAAGATTCTTTCGAAACTTCAACTGACGGGCGGTCATGTGCTTAACCTTGTGCACACGATTAAGGATGTTGGTTTCGTAGCCAAGCTGTTCACCTTCACGGATGGCAGCAAACCGGTCAGACCCAACCAAGACTCGCTTGGCAGTGGGCCGCCCGCGTTCTAGGATCAAAGAAAAGTTTTGGAAGGACAATGGCAACCGGCGAATGCGCGTCTTCACAGGAATATTCCGAGACAGCTTCATGGTATCGTGATAGCCAACCATAATCTAAAACGCGTTAGTTATGCATATGGTGCTTCAGATGGCGAGACTTACATTAGACATATCCACGAAGACGTGAATAGGACGGCATGGATTCTTGTCCTTCTTACTGACCACAGGACGATTCGCCTGGGCAACGATATTTGCATAGTCCGGGAAGTTTTTCAACAGTTTGGTCAAGAGACCAATTCTCCGCTCCGTGGCCGACTTGTAGGTAATAGACTGGATACTCAAAGGGTCGGGGTTAGGCGGGCACTTGGCAACTTTCGAAGCCAAAGGCTCCACCGTCTCATCGTATGAGGATGGTGGGGTATCGTATGGGTCGACAGAAGTACTCGCTGCACCCACTTGCGGAGGAACCAAAGAAAGGATTCCTTTTTTTGTAGTGAGGGGAGGATCGAAGACACTCAAACTGCCGTCCGAATCTGCACCCTGGCTGCTCTCACTTGAGCTTAGGTCGTGAGTAGCTTTGGCTGATGCATTGTTGAGGCTAGCCTTGCATGTTTCAGCAATAACCTTGGCTTGCACTTTGCGTGCTCTGGCAATCCCAGAGCTAGGAATAGGTTTGGGTGGTGTCCGAGGAGGTTCTTGGTCGGTATTCTTCACTACCAACTTCCTTGACGAATGTTGTTGAAGTATTTCGATCGGAAGGTTCGGTGGCGAGGATGGGGACAGGCCTTGAGCTTGAGGTTCAATGTCTGTATCGGACGACAGATTGCTGGCATCCCCCAAGTAATCCCACAGTGACCCAAAATCACCAAGCCTTGGAGACTGAACCCCCAAGCTCAGTTGAGGTTGCTGGGAGCTTTTGGAAGTGGGATCATCCTGATTTGCTACCTCGGTAGAATGGGAAGCTGGGAGAGAATCACGGTGGCGATAAGGTGCATATGAGCTGCCGCCGCCGTAGGTAGGCGTGCGAAGAAGGTTTATCACCGCAGTGAAATCCCAGTTCGAATTGGACTCAGCAGACGATGGCATTGAAAGATTCGACAACGAGAAACAATAAGGTGTGTGGAGCAAAGAGACTTCAATAGGCGCCCAAGATAGATAAGGGCGGGGTTGTTTATATCAATGGTAAAAGATAGGAAAGACTGGCTGACTGGAAGAAATCACACGAATCACAAGACTATGAGAATGAGTCTGCAAAAGAAGTTGAAGAAGTTGAAAGCATCAAGATGCAGAAAATCCACATGGTGGTCGAAAGACCCGTATAGAGAACGTTGGCATGAGAAAGCAGGAAGGAGTGAGGGAAAGAGAGAGAGGAGAAAGAATGAGTATTCAGAAGGAGAGACGGGAAGCGCCAGCAACGGTTAGTTAGGCATGGGGCGACTCGGGCTCGAACGGGGCGGAGTCATCGGGTGGCGGTGAACAGCTGTCACCTTTCTGTCAATTGTGACCGCTTGCTTGTTATAGATCCAATCTGAGCTAGTCCTAAAGTAGGGTAGCGTATTTTAGGAACTGTAATAATGATAATCCGGGGCTTGGCGGCTGTACACGCGCTAAGCTGTTTTCAGAGATATCTGGGGATGGAGTCATGACGACGTCATGGTCCAGACTTGGATCTGGACTCAATCGCAAGTGGGAAAATTCCCTGATTCTCTGCAAGCCTCGGTATCCAAAATGGAGCCAAAGGCCATCCACATCCGTCAGACTAGGACTATCATCTCGATCTTGCCCCATGATTGGGGCCGGGGTAACTTCCTCATGATGACGTCCATTCGCTGGTATCTCTTCCATGGAAACGCCCCTGGATACGAAACAGAGGGCTCGGATGGCGTGTGATGGTGAATGTGGAAGATGAACGAAACGACGTCATCGAGTGGTTTCTATGGGAGTCAAATGTTATATAAAGTCCTCTTCATCAACCTTCTCAGACCTTTCTTTTCCATCAACTAACAATCTCAAACAATCAACCAAGCTTCTCAACTCTCTACTAGAACTTCTTTCAAGAACAATTCTCGTTCAAACAACAATCAATCAACATGTCTGACGCCGGTCGCAAGGATTTCTCTACCAGTAAGTGTCTACTGCAGTTGCCCCCCTCGCTGCGGACTTGACAACTGACATGCATCTGCAGAGGCCAAGGAGGAGATCACTCCTGACTCCACCAAGTCCACCCAGGACAAGGTCAAGGAGACCTTCACCGACACCACTGATCGCCTTGCTCGTGGCACCCAGTCTGACCAGTCCAAGTCCACCACTCAGGAGGCTTTCGACAAGACCCAGCGCTCCCATGACAACACCGCCCACGGTGGTGCTTCCCAGTCCATGTCAGTATCCTCCATCTTTATCCTAATTGACGAGTGGTATTAACTATTAAGCAGTGGTGACAAGATCAAGAACGCTGTCGGCCTCGGCGACAACTAAATCGGTTTCATAATACCCAAGTACAACTGTAACATGGGTTGCAGCGGACTTTCGGTTTTCATCTTGTGAATCATTGCCGGAGGAACACTGGCGGCTATGGGCAGATTGTTCTTATGATTTTCATGAGTTGACGATACCAAGCCTTTGACTGTACTACTCTCACTAGGTTTAATACAACATTTAACAGAACTTTGTGCATTCTTCGTAGTTAAATATTTTCATTCCCATCTATCTGTTAGCCATTGCATCTCGTTCACGAACAAATCTTTGGAGTTTCCTTTCTAGCTCCTTGCAATTCGCGCGAGCCCCAGGGACATCCCCGGGAAGATCATGGAGCATGTTTATCCTTGTCTCCAGACTTCTGACTGTTTCAAGAAGCTTTATCACGTCCGCCTCTTTTGCCATGACATCTTCCAGCCGAGGTTCCTTGCCCCTGTTTCTTGAAAGATAAGCGATTTTGTCCCGATACTCACCCACTTTCGCACCCAGCGACTTGGTATTCCGTGTCCACTCGGCCGTCAATGCTGGGAGATCAGCAGGCGTCTCAAAAGCTTCATTATTCCGAAGGTCATCCAGTTGCGCCCGCAGAGTAGCCAGCTCTCTCTCCAGATAGTTTTGCAGTGCTTCCACTTTAGACATTTGCTCCTGCACGTTGAATTCCTCCGTCGTGAGGTCAATGATAGACTGACCGAGGTCAACTGCATCGGTGCTCAAAGCCCCAAGCACTGCAGTCGTTTCCGCCAGATCGTCAAGACTCTGTCTACCGCTCTCATCAAGTGAGAGCTCTATCTCATCCAAGATTTCGATTTTTTTCGTTGCCTCGCTCCGTTCCTGAGACTTGTAGGCTTGGACCGCTTGCTCGCGTGCTTCATGCACTACCATTGCCTCTTCATCCGCTGTATCATTGGCGGCAGCCAGGGCAAGCAAGGTCCGTAATGTGTCTTCATTCCGTTCAAACTTGGGGATTGGGTTAGGCGCATACTGCCGGTTCAGCCAGGTGTTCACATAGGCCCAATCCTTGGCTTCAATGGCAGCTTGACGTGCCTTGGCGGGGGAGAAAAGAGGACTATCCATGGAGAGTATGGCAATCTGTAAGAGTGGCTTGAGGTGATACTATGCAGAAAGGGCCTCGTATGGGTTGAAATTAGAGAAGAATGACACAAAGCCAACAATCAATGCATCCATGAACATGGTTGCCAGCTCCTTCTTCTCCGCGGGGTGGGTTTGTTCCTGAAAACGCCTGACATAAGCAAACGCCCGCCGCTCCTTTTCCGCCCGCGGGCCTTTCTCCGCTTCTGTTGCGATACTCCGCAGCTCCCAATTATCCTCTTCACGCAGCTGGCTCAGGCGCCATTTGATCAAGCCACCATGGCGAGCTATTTCCCACCGAATGCACATCTAACGAGTCATATTTCGACAACAGCCTCCTCCCCAGCTTCTTCTCCGCTCTCTCCCCCGACCCAGCAGCGATCCAATGCGCTGTCCAACCGATTGACAAGTGTACTTTCCGCCTCATACGCGGATTCAGACATTCGTGATGCTTTGGAGACCCTCAGTCTCCGAGGAATCCATAATACTGCAGAAGTCCGAAGGCAACTCCGTCTAGACGTTCAGAAGGAAGTCGTCGACTGCAATGCTGAGATTGTGCGCGACTTTAAAAAGGTTGCGGAGGTAAGATGGGCCCCCATGGAGCCAGAGCCGGGAGTAGAGTGATACTGACACTATATGATTCAATAGCAACTGAAGCGGATCGGAACGGTCATCACCAACCTCAACCAAACGTGCGAGGAGATGCGCAAACATATTGTTCTGGCCAAACAGGATACAACGCCCGTTCTGGAAGAAGCGTCTGCGTTGATGAGGCAAAAAACCGAGGCGGAGACCAAACAACAGCTGCTCGATGCGTTCACGCAACACTTTGTTGTCCCGGAGGAGGAAATTCTGGTATTGACGGCTGCAGAGGAACCAATTGATGACCACTTCTTCGAGGTCCTTGCCCGAGTGAAGCAGGTGCACCGAGACTGCGAAGTGCTTCTAGGTGGAGAGAACGAGCGACTCGGTCTGGAGCTCATGGAGAAAAGCACCAGGAGCCTGAACTCCGCCTATCAGAAGCTCTATCGATGGATTCAGAAAGAGTTCCGGTCTCTCAACCTGGAAGACCCTCGCATTAGCAGCTCCATCCGGCGCGTTCTCCGCGTGCTGGCGGAGCGACCCAGTCTGTTTCACAGTTGTCTGGATTTCTTCGCTGAGGCTCGGGATTACGTTCTCTCTGATGCCTTCCACTATGCTCTTACGGATGCAGTTACCGGAGGTGGCGGTGACCGTCAGGTGAAGCCGATCGAGTTTTCTGCACACGATCCTCTGCGCTACATTGGCGATATGCTGGCTTGGGTGCACTCAACCACTGTTTCGGAACGGGAAGCCCTGGAATCCTTATTTGTTGACGACGGCGAGGAGCTCGCCAAGGGCATCCAGGCCGGCCTAAGTAGTGAGCCGTGGTCACGCATCGATGAAGACCAAGAAGTCACCTTCGACGGACAGAAAGCCCTCAGCGATCTCGTCAACCGTGACCTGGTCGGCGTCTCACGGGCCCTTCGCCAGCGAGTCGAATTGGTCATCCAAGGCCACGATGACCCCGTTACATGCTACAAGGTGGTCAACCTCCTCTCCTTCTACCGAACCACCTTCGCCAAACTCCTTGGATCTCAATCCAACCTGGCCGAGCTCCTCGAAACCCTGGAGAGATTCACCTTCCACCACTTCGAAACCCTCATGCAGGAGGAAGTCCGCAGTCTTTCGACCGACCACTCGGCCCTCACCCCGCCAGACGATCTCTCGCCCCCGCAATTTATCCAAGACGCCCTAGAATCGCTCACCCTTCTCATGAAATCGCACGACATCTCCTTCGGCGCAGAGGAACTACCCTCCTCCCCCACCAACAACAACAACAAGATCAGCACCACCCAAGAACCCACGCCCAACAGATTCACCCCAGTTCTCCGCTGTGCCTTGGACCCATTCCTCGACCTCGCCAAATTCACAGCACAGGGCCTCCCTCCCACTCAACGAACCATCTACCTCACGAACATCCACCTCGCCACCCGCGCAATCCTCACCCCGTACCCCTTCGCCAGCGCAACCCACCTCCCACCCCTCAGCGCGACCCTCTCCGCCCTGCGCATGGACCTCCTCGCCATCCAACACAACTACCTCCTTACCGAATCCGGCCTCCAGACTCTCCTCATAGCCCTGGAACCCTTCTCTCCTCCGTCCGCCGCCCCCAAGCCCACCGACCCAGCCAATCAACAAGCCCAACAGCAGCAGCAGCCCCAACTCTCCCATATCGCACAGATCACCACCCTGCCCGCCTTCCAGCCCGACGCCCTCATCATCACCAGCCAACAGCTCGACGACTTCCTGCCGTCGGCGCTCATGGACGCCACGGATCATCTGAAGCGGGTGCAGAGCGCGACGTTCGTGAAGAGCGTGACCGAGGAGGCAGTCGAGGCGTTCTGTCGCGACTTTGAGTTCGTCGAGGGGATGATTATCGGGGCGGATGAGGCGCGGAGGAGCTCGTTGGCCAAGGGTGGTGGTCATGGGGATGAAGGTGTGGATGGGGCGGAGGAGAAGGGTGTAGTCGAAGGTGGGGATAATGAGGAGGCCGGGGAGGACGAGAAGGAATGGGGCCTGAGGAAGTTGTTCCCTCGGACGACGGGCGAGATCCGGGTTCTACTGAGCTAGTAGATACTTTGAGAAGGTGTGTGTGTGGTGTGGTGTTGTATATATGTGTCGATGTACTTACTCTCTGGTTTGAGTTGATGGAATTGTAAATAGATATATACGTTTGTTGATGCGTGTACTATTATTCTCTCTCGGCAAGAGACCCAACTTACACGAAGGTATCTCATGCTCATTTCCACCCAAGTCCCCACCACATGGGTCTTCTTCAAAAACTCTAACCCTGTCTCACCATAATCCCATACGGATCCCGATCCTTCTCACTAACCGCCACCTCGCACGAGCCATCGGCAAACACCTCCTTCAATCCCCCCTCCGCATCCTTCTGCTGCTGCTGCCCTTCCTCCCTCCGCACCCGCCAGGTCTCCTCCACCTCCTTGGCCAACTTCTCGCGCATCACGGCCCGCAAGTACCCGCGCTCGGTGTTCGAATGCGCCAGCGCCACGACCACGGACCCGCGCTCGATGGCCGCCAGCGCCTCGTGGTGGCTCAGCTCGCCCGTGAACAGCAGATCGGGGATCGGGGATTTCTTCATCAGCACGCCGGACCCGGAGCCGGGGCACACGCCCACCGTGCGGATCTTCAGCGCATCCACCGAGGCACCCTGCGGGATGGCGATGGGGATCCCGCCGGGGAACCCGACGCCCTGGGCGATGCGGTCGATGATGGCGGTCAGCGGCTCCGGGTCCGTGAAGGTCACGATGCGGCCCATGCCGGCCGTGTCCTCGACGCCTTCGGGGAGTGGCGGCGGGGACGGGAGGATGGTGTGGCGGGTGTGCTTGGGGACTTTGGTTGCCTGGGTGGCCGGTTGCGGGGCGGGGTAGACCGGGTGGGAGTACGTGGCGGACGAGGATTGTGTCAAGGTGGGTTTTGTCGGGGTGGCGGGCGTGATGATGGCGCCGGTCACGATGTCGCACAGCCAGTCGGCCATGCCCCCCGGGGTCGCGTCGATCGCCGTGTGCGGCGAGTACACGCTGATGCCTTCGGAGGCCAGGCGGAGGAGGGTCTGTTGTTGCGGGTCCGTGAAGGTCAGGGATTTGAGGCCGCGGAAGATGATGGGGTCTGTATGTTTGCGCGAAACAAGGGAAAGGTGGGTTAGTTTCGAGGTGGAATGGCTGCAGGGACGGATAGAGAAAAGCGTACGGTAGGCTACGACGATGGAGTCGCGGCGCGCAATGGCCTCGTCGGCGACGGCTTTGGTCAGGTCAATTGCTAGGAGAACGGAGTTCTTCTGGCGGCGCGATGCGTTGAAGGGGGCCTCGAGGAGTACTGCATCGTCGGTACCGTTAGTGGATGGAGGGGGCGTGGGGATGAGGCTGGCGGAGGGAGCTCACGGCCGGTGTTGTCCCAGCTTTTGTCGGCCAATGACTCAGGATAGCTATGGGAAGAATAATTAGTGTTAGGGAGTGGAGTGTGTATCCAGCGCCCGAGACGAGATCACATACAGCTTCCTCATGGAGCTCACGACAGCCTGGGTGAAGGGCGATGAGGCGGGGTTCGAAGAAGCAGCCATTGTGGAATAAAGACGAGACGATCGCCGAAACAGAGAGTTCATAGACACTGTGCGAGTCAAAGCAAGTATATATGGACGTTCCGGTGGGAGCTGCTTCTTGATATGACCTAGATTGAGCTTGTTCACGATGTTTTCCCTTTGTTCTAGATCAATGAAGCTAGAGAAGTTAAGAGGAGGATTAATCTCGCCAGAAGCCGAGGATGAGCTTACGCCACAACCGCACAGACATAAACTAAACCCCAAATGCATACTAGTCTCCCACACCAGCCACAGCCGGGTTTCGCTGACCAATATCGCAGTGCAGAGAAGCCTTTCCCTTGATTAGTTTCAATGGAGGTTCCGTCATCCTACATCGGAAGAAGCATCACCGCCCGCGCGCGAAGTCTACAGCCAAAAAAAAAAACATAGCCCCAACTGCATCGTCATATCCGTCCCATCGCGCAACACATCATAGTCTCGACGGAGTACTTTCTTTTACCTAAGAACAACCAACAACAACCACCGTACCCCTCCTTCTCGACACTCCTCTCTCCTCTCCCCTCTCCCCTCTTCCCCTCCCTCACGAAGCACTACTTGATGTACTCCCGCACCACCTTCTTCTCGCTGAGCAGAAGTTGCCGCTATCTTCTCCGCACTCCGGGCCTCCCTCCGAAGTCGACTTTTTCCCTCTCCGCGCGCTCCTTCTCCGCCGTCCACGCAGCCATGGCCGATGCGACCTCCGGTGTCACCGCCGACTTGCTGAAGAGCAAGCTCTTTGACCAGCTCCAGGCGCAACACGTGGAGATTGAAGATCTGTCGGGTAGGTCGGGTCACCTACGTTGCTGATTAATTCTGCTGCGTTTCCCCCGCGTGTGGGATTCAATCTGTGCTGTGCTTCTTGGATTGATCATGGACGTCGGAAATATTGACCACTTTTTCTTTTCAATATAGGTGGCTGTGGCCAGGCTTTCCAGGCGGTCATTGTCTCCCCCCAGTTCGATAAGAAAACCATGCTCGCCCGTCACCGCTTGGTAAACTCGGTCCTCAAGGCCGAGATCGCTGCTATTCATGCTTGGACGCCCAAGTGCTACACCCCCGAGCAGTGGCAGGCTCTGCACCAGGGCTGAGGCTGCTTCTCCCTGTTTGAGACGTTGTGTTGCAGCCGAGAAACTACGGGCAATCATCGGCGATGGAAGGTTCAAATTTTGGGTCTCCATCAACACGTACAAGGGTAGAATCTTGTACAAGACTATCATAATCTGCGGGCGTTGGAGAGAAGGGAATGTTCCATGTGCGAGAGGCTTTGCACACTGCCGGCCATGTCTAAAGTTCTGCTATGGTTGCGAGAAAGAATCTTGATCATGAATAAATATTATACGGTTTTTTCGCATGTATAACAGATTTCTATAGTTACAGAATAGATTGCCCGCGTCACGCCGTTCGGCTCGCTTAACCCAGCACCTTCTCAGCCGCGGAGACTGTACATAGCACATCAGCAATTGGAGGATAATGCGTGTGAAACACTGTAGTGTACACATACCGTTGACGCCGATGTTGTCAGGCTCCACGAAGGCCTCCTTGACCTTGCCGTTCTCGACAACCAGCGCGTAGCGCTTGCTGCGGTTGTTTCCGAAGATGGAGGCGCTGTCGAAGGTAACATCAAGGGCGTCGGAGAACTTGCCTGTAGGGTCACCGAGGAACCGGATCTGACACTCAGGATTTAGCTGGTCTGTTTGACATGCCTAGAGAAGATAATGAGTGTACTTACGCCGCTCTTGCCAGAGGCATCGAGAGACTCGCCCCAGGCCTTGGTCCTGCGCGCGGAATTAGTATACTATCCAAGCCTCGCCAGATCGCCGACTTACACAAAAGGATCATTGACGGCAACAACAAACACCTGGCCGGCCTCCTTCAGCTTGGGGTGGTTGATGTAGCCGGGCACGTGGGTGCTGGAGCAAGCGGGGCCTACACACGACCGGTCAATATCGTTCCTCCGATCCGACATCGTATGTATGGTAGCCATGCTGCAGATGACTAGCTCCGAACTCAATTTGAGGGATGAAGCCAGAGGAAGTCATGCGTGGCTAGCAAGGTTTCAGGCGCAAAACCGGGAATGACACATACTGAAAGCGGCGGGGACGCCAATGATGACTCCCTTGCCCTTCAGCTCCTTGGCGAGGTTGACCTTGTTGCCGGGGGAGTTCTCGACCAGGACATCGAGATCGGGGATGGCATCGCCCTTCTGAACGAACGCCGGGACGGTGTTGTGGAAAAGCGCCCTCTGGGACAGGACGCGAGGAACGCCAGCGGTCAAACGGCGAGCGGCGAACATTGTGAATTGATGAATTGACTAATGAGGTGGACTTTGGGAAGAGGATATATCGCGGGGGAAGAGATTGCTTGAATTTGATGTTTCAAAATTGCCACTACCCCTGAATAGAGTTGAGGTACAAAGTTTGTCGAAAAAAGAGGGGGGGGAGAGAGAGAGAGGATGTGGAAGTTCCTGAGGGAGAGAGCTTGGGGAGGGAGTGAGTGAGTGGACGGGGCAGCTCCCCAATCACCCGGAACATTATTTCGTCATGGTCGCTTCCGCCTGCATCGCGCCCGGACGTCAACCGACTTTACTCACTGCCAAAACGTGCATCTTTATTCCATGGGACAAAGGAATTGTGCCAATGATTTAACCTTGATCGAGGACAAGAAACCAGATTCAGGTGAGGCTGTCCTCGCTTCCCCTGCAAGGTCTGCCACCTCAAGTTCGTATGCTATGCAGACGGGCGGGATATTGATGTTGTGTTGTGGTCTCTACGCGGCATGTATAGAGGTATAGAGGAGGATGGTTCAATCCTAGGATTGGAAGAAAGCTGCATACAATTTGCCTGAGCTAGATTAAGCTGACCCGAGCAGGCATTGGACCCTCATCGACCGGGCTGGATCTTTGTAAGATGACAGTACATATTCTGGTTTCATGATTGATTGCCCTGCATTGTCTTCAGTATATCGGACTGCAAGGGTGCAGCACATTCAAGTGGCGTTCTCCGTGCGATGAGTCTCGACTCTGGGCCGCATCCCACCCAACTCATAGTTAACTTAGCTGGTGGCTAGGCTGGACGGGACAAAATGCTTTTTTGTTCCCCAGTCTTCCATGTCCGTTGGCGAGTCCGAGAGAAGTCAAGTCTGCGGGCGACCAAGCAGTCGGGTACCGTTTTATATTAAACCGCTGGGCCATGCCGCCATGGGGACCATAAGAATCGCAGTACCCCGGACTAGTGCGTGCATGATGAGGCCATAGCTTCATTTACCGGACTCATAGTACTTTTAAGTCCGTGATTGGTATTGGACTGGCTAACCAGCTGTGATAGTGGTAATTTGTGAAAGTTATTGATCACAATCACTGGCTCAAATTGGGAATTGCACGGTTCTGTCTGATCTTCTCTTCTTCTTCTTCTCCTTCTCTGGCCCTGTCGGCTACCGAAGTATTATTCAGCGAGGTTCAGCGAGTGATCGGCAGCCGTTGCCGAATCCCGTGAACCTCCCCTCACTGAATGGATCCCCGATCTCCATCATTGTTTGATGATCATAATGGGGGTGGGTGAAAAAGAGACAGGAGAGACGGGAGAGGGACTGAACTACTTACCGATACTTAATCTACTGAGAAGGTAATATTTCGCTCATTCTCATGGCTGATGCCATCGCATTCCTAGCTTCGAGCCTAACGAATTGTCTGAGATTTTCCTTCCCCTCTTCTCATCCTCCAGACGGTACGGAGTACTAGGCAATCATTTGTCGGAGCCGAAACGAGACACCAGTAAAGGCAGTCTTGATTTCTGCCCAGGTGATCGTGGACGCACAGGTTGACGGCCCCTCCCAGCGGCACCAGCCTATCTCCATGTCATCCCCCCCATCCTGCCCATCCTTTTCATGCAGCTTGTCTGCAACCGTTCAGGCGCACTGACAGCTTCCAACCGGCTTTTCCGCCAGAATTGCTCGCCAAATCGCGGGCTCCAGGTATTTAATTTTCTTTTTCCCCTTTCAACTACTTTCGTGATCTTCTCTCCCAATCCTGGTTTTGTCTCTTTCTTCTATCCAGTGACGTTGTTTCGTGTGTTAAGAGAGTCCCAGTTGGGTTGGCCCATCTTGAGTTGTCCTTCGTTAGCCCCGAGGCTCTAAATTTTTAGTGAGGGTTAGAATTCCTGTCTACCCCTCCTATCTCCTTGCTTTGGGGGGGAAAGAAATTTAAGCCAATTCGGGCATATCAAAGCCTGGCAAATACGCAGGAGAGGGGGGGGGAAGTTGAAAACAATGCAAATGATCGCAACGATGTTATCTTTTGGTATTGTCTACGGTTGTGCATTCAAGCGAAGGGAAGGAGTTTATAAGAATACAGTACATTGTCAAGGAGATCAATAGTCAATAGTCTGAATGACTACCTGACCATCGGATGTTGTGGCTAGTGACCACACTACTGACCAGTACTACTAATGAGTTAGTTACTGCCTGTTACTCTTGGGGCAACCCACTTTCCAGGCTACTACAATGAACTACTACTAAGTTACAAAAAGTCTACTGGCGAGGTATACATTGCCAAATGGTTGAAACAGCACATGCAGCGGTCGAGCGGGTAGTATAGAAGATGATGGTGACGATAATGATGATCTTTTCGAGTACCAAGACAAAGAAAAAAATTACTCAAGTAGATAAATATATGAATCGAATTAACTATTTCCCCTTCTTGGACATCAAAAACACCTTCGACTCTCAAGGTACGGTACGGTACAACTCTACCAAGCCAACGCCGCCCGCCGCCGCCCGGCCAAATCAAGTCAATGGTTCCAACCCCAAAAAACAATCACCCCCTCCCCTCCTCTTCTTCCTCTTCCTAAAGACTGAATTGACTGCCAGTCTGACTGCCAGTCTGCCAGTCTGCCAGTCTGCCAGTCTGCCAGTCTGCCACAACCCAGTCCCACCTTCAAACTAAAAACCCATCGATTAACTAATGGTAATTAATCTCCATTCCCATTTCCTACCGGACTGGCACACTCACTCCCTTCAACTTACACCTCCACCACACCACTCAATCCATCTGTTGCGCCGCCCATTCGGCCACTCGGACGGAGGGTCTAAAGTCGAGTCTCCAGTCCAGTCCATGCTACTACTGTTCTCTTTTTCCCCTTCTCTTGCCTTACCCACCCCCCCCCCCCTCCCCATTCCTCTTTTTTTTTTATTTTTTTCCCTTCTCCCTTTCTTCTTCTTTCCTCTGTCTTGATTGTGTCTTTCATTTTTTTTCTATTCCTATTATTTATTTTTATTCTTGGCTCGTCGCCGATAGTCATATTTCTTACTTCTTTGCGATCTTTGAATTGAGCGCCCGACTGGTTCCCTTTCCTTCCCGGTCGCTGCGACGTGTGTTGAGCCTGTTGCTTGTTCGATCGGTCGCGACCCATCTAGCCCATGATGGACGGTGGCCAGACCTCGACCAGCGCCGCCCCTGCCGGCAATTCCAGCGATTTTGTAAGTCTTCGTCGTGATCTTCGTTAAACCCATACTCGAGAATATTGTTCTATCGTATTGTTTTACTATATGTTTCAGTTGCTAACCATCATGCTCAGGTACGGAAACTCTACAAGTGAGTCTCTCTATTTGCTTCTCCCGTTCCTTGATCGTCGCTATTCGCCTCTCATCCAACCCTGTCCTCCTCCCCGACGCCTCGCCCCCCCTCTTAGCCCTCTATTCCACCTCTGCGCCAAATCAGTGTCGACGATCGACTATACTACTTTTACCATGCATACTGACGTTCTCTAAAGGATGCTGGAGGACCCGTCCTATGCGGAAATTGTGCGATGGGGTGATGAAGGGGACAGCTTCGTCGTTTTGGAGGTACCGTGTCTCGCACCTCGCAACTTCCCCCGCGATCGCAAACCCTTTGACTAATTGCGTTCATCTTCTTAGTGTGAGAAATTCACAAAGACTATTCTGCCGAAGCACTTCAAACACAGCAACTTTGCCAGCTTCGTGCGACAACTCAACAAGTACGATTTCCACAAAGTGAGGCAGAACAACGAGGAGAATGGACAGTCACCTTATGGGCAAAATGTAAGTGTGCAGGGATGCGCAGCGGAAGCTAGTCTTATTCTAATTAGATTTGCAGGCGTGGGAATTCAAGCATCCCGAGTTCAGAGCGAACAGCAAGGAGTCGCTCGACAACATTCGCCGGAAGGCTCCCGCCCCGCGCAAACAGACCCAGACCACCGACGACTCGGTCCCCACCCAACAGATTGATCTCTTGAATCAACAGATCGTGGCACAGCAACAACAGATCCAGCACTTGTCAGACCGCTATGCGCAACTGACTGTCGATCATCAGTTGATGTTGCAGGAAGTGATGCGAGTTCAGAAAACGGTTCTCAACCACGAAAGTGTCATTCACCAGGTCATGAACTACCTACTCTCCGTCGACGCCCGTCAGCGGCGGGACAGCAAGGCGGCTGCCTCTTTCCAGGCCCAGGGTCAAGCAGGCTCGACCCTCAGCCCTTCCCAGGTGGCTACAATGGACGATGAGCCTTCTTCGCCCTTGCAGCAGGCCACCAAACTCTTGAATGATATGAACGCGGAGATCCAGTTCAACCTCGTCGGCCTCGATGGGGTTGCTGATCCGTCCAAGGCTGCCGGGGCGGTTGTACCTGCCCCTGGCATGGATGGCGCCTCACGCAATGGCGTGGTGCGCGCACCTGCTGCGGCAGCAAACCCAGCATTGGTGTACTCGAAGATGAATGGTGATGTCGAGCCCGTGGTTTATCCCGTGGGTGCGACCAATGGAATTGACCCTATGTACGGCGAGCATGTCAAGAATGTTCCCTACCCAATGCCGAAACAAGAGGTCGACGACTCTCGGAGACAACAAGTCCAGCAGGTCCAACAGGTCCAGCAAGTCCAGCAAGTACAACAGGTCCAACAAGTTCCCGACAATCGCAAGAAGAGCGCAAATGTCGATCCTGGTTGGGCCCGCAGCCCTCGTATCTTGCTTGTGGAAGACGATCAGACGTGTCGTCAGATCGGCGGAAAATTCTTATACTCATTCTCTTGTATCATCGATACCGCGGTATGCTTCTCGCAAAACTTTCTTCTCGCATTCAACGCTGACTTGGCTCTCAGCTCGATGGATTAGAGGCCGTGACGAAAGCCCAGGCCAACCCCGGATATGATTTGATTCTCATGGATATCATTATGCCTAATCTGGATGGTGTCTCCGCAACGCATCTCATCCGCCAGTTTGATAGGACTCCTATCATAGCCATGACCTCCAATATCAGGAGCGACGATATCCAGCTCTATTTCCAGCATGGTACGTCATTGCTCTCGATCTCCTGCTCATTACAGTACCACAGTAGACTGACTTGAATTAGGCATGGACGATGTCCTTCCCAAACCATTCACGCGAAAGAGTCTTCTCGATATGCTTGAGAAGCACTTGTCCCATTTGAAAGTCGCATCGCAGACTATAGAAGCTCCGCAGCCAGCCGTACCTGTCACGATGGCTGCTCAGAGCTCCGCCGCACATTCGATCAAAGAGGACAGCTCTCCAGGCCAGTCACCGGCAACATCGGTGAACAACTGGCAGTCACCGGGCCAATACCAAGGCATGGCCGCTGTACCTCATAGCATGCAGCCTGTCCCGAGTCAGTATGTTCCCACGACCCCGGGTCCCGCTGCATACGCCGTTGATCAAAACGGCGTTCAATATGCCACTCCCACTGTGGCCCTTGCCCAAGCAGCACCCGCTGCTCGGCCACAGGTACGACGGCAACTTTCAGAAATGTCGAGTGCGGGTGAAAACCCGGGCATGGCCAAGAGGCCGCGGATGTACGCACATCCAAGCCAGCCTATCGTCAGTTCCATGCAGGCCACACGAACTGGCTAGCTGACGTGCGGCTATCTTTGTATCACTCCCCGCCACTCCCACCTCCCCTTTTGCAATAGCGGTGACCCTAGATTCCATCCATCTACTTCTTCATCTCTCCGCTCGTTGAACATCCTATCCTCGAGCTCTCCATTCCATGAGTTTTCATAACCTTTTTGCGATGGTTATTGAACCATACCTTGTTGTGACATTCAGGAGTTGTGCTACATTTCTGTCCCTTTTGGAATTATACGATATATCACGGTGTCGGGGCGCGTCTTATCATTTGCATCTGATTTGGGGACCCGCTTGCAGCAAAGCTGGTCGGTTGTTATTCGTATAGGGTGACTGGGCTAGTTCTGAAGGTCTCTGTTTCCTGGCATCCAGGTTCGTGGGCCCGTTCACGGGCCCACGGACTGGCAGCATGAGTATCATCTTTTTGTACGTATTATCAGTTTTGTGGATCGTTGAGGCGCTGGCATCTGTGTAATCCCATTGTGGGGTGCAGGCAATTTCTCTCTTACGTCTTTGTTATCTTATCGAAGTTGCAGAAAAGCTGCTTCCAAGAAGATTTGTGATCAAGATACATACAACAGCATTCCTATGCATCAATACCATACAGCTTCTTTCCATAAAGCAGTCGATTGAGTTGATTCTCGAAGCCAGGAAATGTTGTTTCAGTTGAGTCCGTACAGCACACGTAAGCTACCAAAAAGGGATACATCTACAGTACCGTGGACACCACTTTTTAGACTCATTTGGCCCTCAGAGGGGCAGATCTGATCCTCGCCCACCGCAACCCAAGCTTTCAGCGGCCCCCCGATCGAGCGTTCATCAGCTAAATTATGGCAGCTTGAGTTCTAGACCCACGGTTCCTGAACAAGGGGGATTCCTTTGAGTCCAGGAGGGCCCAGACCGTGGATGACGTTCTGGACTCGACAACTCCCAACTGCGGTTAGCAGCTGTGGCTGAGGGCTCTCCCGTCACATGACACAGTTTCCCACGTGACCCATCGCGACAGCAATGAGCTTCGGCAAACAAAGCAAACAGGTCGCAAGGTGGGATGAAGTCTGACTCCGACGGAGGGACAAAGGCTTGGCGGAGATTTTGTGACTCTCTCTCCAACGCGGTTGTCACTTTGCGTCGGCATCACCCCCGTGAGCTTCATCTTCGAGCTAACGAACTCTCTCTCAGCTCCGGAGAAGACTCTTTACGCGCTTGGGTAAGGCTTGGCAGAGTCAAAAACTACAAAAGTTGCCAGAAGAAAAGCCTTAGTTTATACTTCTGAAATTATCCGATGTGAGTTTGTGCTCTTTTGTGTCCGCTGGGCTCAATGTCTCCTTCCGGGCCGCGAATGAAATCATGCTGAGATACGACTACTTTAGATGGGTCCGAAGAAAGGTGGCGCACCGAAGCAGAGGGGAAATGCTGCGGAGACGGTAGAGGAGACGCTCCAGGCGGTGGTATGCTTGGTTTTCATGAAAACGTTATTTATGAGGAGATCCCGGCCGGCCGGCTCGGGCATCGAAGCTGGGCTTTGGCTGATCATTCTGGTGGTTTGTGATTTAGGTGCTTGCGGATACCTTTGAGACGAGATTTGAGCCCTTCACTCTGGAAAGACCTCGGGTACGTTGTGTGCTGTGTTTGGAAAGTCTGGCGGGGAGGGCAAAGGAATCATGAGTATACGTGGGCTAACACCTCTTGGCGGAGGATATAGTGTCTCTTGACGCTCGCGAACACTCCTCTTATCGAATATACCCTTGAGTTCCTTGCCAATGCGGGTGTCGAGGATGTCTTCCTATACGGTGGTGCGCATTCGGATCAGCTGGAGCGATATATCAAGTATGTGGATCGAATTTCGGGGAAGGCTGGCGGCGCATTTTCGCGTGCATGTTGAGATTGATGCTGTGAGGCTGACAAAGAGGTGTTGGATAGTGCGTCGAAGTGGAGAGCGCCCTCGTCGCCCTTCAAGCAGCTGACTTTCCTCAAGTCGACGTCAACCTCGGTCGGAGATGTCATGCGTGATCTGGATGGCAAGCACCTGATTACCGGAGATTTCATCGTCGTCAGCGGCGATGTCATCAGCAACCTGCCGATCGAAGGCGCCTTGGCCAAGCACCGTGCTCGTCGCGAAGCCGACAAGAATGCGATCATGACTATGATCCTGCGGGAAGCCGGCCGCAACCACCGGACCAAGGCCTCTTCCGTGTCCCCCGTCTTTGTGATCGACCCGACCAAGGACCGTTGTCTGCACTACGAGGAGATTGACCAACACAACCCCGATTCCACGCGCCTGAACATCGAACCGGAAATCATCACTTCACACCAGGAAATCGACTTGCGCCAGGACCTGATCGACTGCAACATCGATATCTGCACGCCTGATGTGCTGAGTCTCTGGTCCGACAGCTTCGATTACCAGGCGCCGCGCAAGCAGTTCTTGTTCGGTGTGTTGAAAGATTACGAGCTGAACGGCAAGACGATTCACACGCACATCATCAAGGACCACTATGCGGCCCGCGTGAGGAACCTGAAGGCGTACGATGCTATCAGCAAGGATATCATCTCCCGATGGACGTATCCTCTTTGCCCCGACACCAACCTCCTTCCAGGACACAACTACGAGCTCCGCAAGGGAAGCCTGTACCAGGAACAGGGCGTGACTCTGGCCCGCTCGTGTGTCATCGGCCGCCGAACGGTTATCGGCCAGGGAACGAGTATCGGGGACAAGACGACG